CCTCGGGGCCTGCGGCTGGGTGCTGCTCATCCTGATGTTTGTCAGCAAGTTCATCACCTTCAGAGCTGTGGATGGTAAGCTGCTGGGTCTAACGCTGACTTATTAGTGTTAGCTAAAGGGCTAAATGTGATCAGCCCACTCTATTGTGTGTTGTCAGACTATGGAGAGAGGGTTGGTGGTCAGAGCTGGACCGTGCCAGGCACCAAGATGATAAGACCAGTTCCTGTTTCCAGTCTACAGAAAACAGCTCCAAAGCCATCTGATCAGGTGACTATTAACTTTACTCCATCACTGACCCCATTAAAACAAAGCCATTCACTTCTCTGCAACACCAACATATTAAAAGGCAATCCGTGACATTACTGTTGTGTCTCAGTCCTCAGCGGTGCCCCCAGTGACAGGTTGGCAGTCGGAGGTTGAGAGGCGGAGCGAGCTGCTCTCCTCTGTGTGTAAGAACAGCAGTCTCAGGAATCTGACTCACGTCTCCATCAGCAAATTCGTCCTGGACCGCATCTTTGTCTGCGACAAGCGCAAGATCCTGTTCTGCCAGACGCCTAAAGTGGGCAACACACAGTGGAAGAAGGTCCTCATTGTGCTCAATGGTAAGTACAGGTTAGAAGAATGTAATAACAATGTCTAGCAGTCTTTCACATGATGACTTATGTTATGAATATTGACAGGAGCATTCCCCACCGTGGAGGAGATTCCAGAAAACCTTGTCCATGACCATGAGAAGAACGGCCTGCCACGCCTATCATCACTCAAGCCACAGGAAATTACTCACAGGTTTGTTAAGACTTAATGTTAATAATGTAGCAGCCACCAGGGTGGGCCAACGCTTACTTGCTGAGTTCATTCTTATATATGATCCTTTAGGAATGCTTTACAAACTTGCCAAAAAAAAAAAGATTGCTTGCTAGTAAAATATTGACCATCACTAGCCTTTTGGCTGGAAGATAAAAATGCAAGTCTTGCACCTTGCATCCACAAACAAATGCACAAATCGTGCAAAAAGACCAGCAAGTGTATATGCAAGTGTTTATGATAGTCAACAGTATTGCAGAATTGCCTTCTGGGACAGTCCAAATAAATAATAATATCATTATTTACAGCTGTTTTCTCATAAACCTGTATTTGCCTCAACAGATTAAGTACTTACTTCAAGTTTTTCATCGTGAGAGACCCCTTTGAGCGGCTGATCTCTGCGTTCAAAGACAAGTTTGTGAAGAACCCACGCTTCGAGCCTTGGTACAAGCATGACATCGCCCCGGCCATCATCCGTAAGTACCGCAAGAGCCACCGTGACAACGAGCTCTCCGCCTCCGGCCTGCACTTTGAGGACTTTGTCCGTTACCTGGGCGACGCAGACGGCCGCCACCGCATGGACCGTCAGTTTGGTGAGCACATTATTCACTGGGTGACTTACGCAGAGTTGTGCGCGCCGTGCGAAATACACTACAACGTGGTGGGCCACCATGAGACACTGGAGCAAGACGCCCCTCACATCCTCAAAGCAGCGGGCATCGACCAGCTGGTGTCCTACCCCGCCATCCCTCCAGGCATCACACGCTACAACAGGACCAAGGTGGAGCGCTACTTCTCAGGCATCAGTCAGCGCGACATCAGGCGTCTGTACGCACGTTACCAGGGGGACTTCGGCCTGTTTGGTTACCCGGGCCCTGACTTTCTACTGAACTGAAATGATTAACACTGACTCAAAGACATGTTTGCATATATCCTCCCAACATCTTTGGTTTACTGAGACAGAGGTGTATTGTAGCGGATTATGTGTCACTGGCAGACCACAAAGGCTGGCAGATGGCACACTGTAATGTTTTTATTTTAGGAATGACTGACAGGTTTTGGCTGTATTTGCAATGACCGGCAAAGGAAGCTGCAGGATTTATCGTTTTGTGCGGGAGGTAAGAAGTAGATACAAAGAACATACACAGGTACAGAACACATGTTATCTTATATTTAATACTCATGAATGATTTGTCCTCATATGTCAAAGAGAGGTACTCTGTAATGCTGGGGATACAGGCCCGTTACCCTGTAATGTAGCTACTATATACTGCATTGTTTGGATCACCAGTTACAATGGTGTGCGTTTGACATGCGGTGTCTTTTCTGTACTTCTTGCTGGACATAGGAGACGGTCTATTTCAGGGACGCTAGCATGTTTGGAAAAGGAGAGTAAACTGCAAAAATACAATGGGAAGTTATTAGACATCTTTCATTTATGTTTTTAGGAGTTACGAATTGCCATTAACTTTATTTTTGTAACCATTGTTTTTTGCTTTATGCAAGGCCTATTATTGCTTTGTGATTCAGTTGATCAGTCACAGGAAGACCTTGGTCCCGCCCTTATCCATACTGTAGCCATCGTTCTGCCTTTACTGAAACTGACAAAAGTTACGACATGCTTCTGACTCCATTTACTCAGCTGTTTACTGCACTGGATTCAAAAGGATCAGTTTTCTATCAGAATTGTACCGTGTAAATGTTCTTAACATGACTTGCAACTCAACATTTGTATTACATGTTGCTATTTATAATATTATTAACCTGACACCAACAGTGTCTAAATTGTAAGACAGCGCTGTCTCCCTGCATCCACCTGGTGACTTTTTGGACAGGCGGTCATAATACAAGGACAGCACTAGTTAGTAATAAAGGTTGTATTTAAAAAAATTATCAGTTCCTTGTTTTGTTTTTTGAGAAAATACATGATTTGTGTGTGTGCTTCCTTAAACCTGTACTGTATGTTGCTTCAGTAGTATAAAACATCCACAAGATGGCAGTAAACTATTATAATTTGTAGTTATTAGTTAGAAAGCAACCAACTCTGTTGAACCCTTGAACCAAATGTCAACACACGCACGCTGTTGATAGACAAAACAATGACTTCAGAGCCATGTGTCAGCAACAAACACTTCCAGGCAGTGCGGGCGGAACAGAATTATCATTATCAGTGTCATCTGCACAAGCTTACCTTACCACAGATGGATTTAAGTTGATTTACTCCTCTTAAGCGTTAGTTAAGTGTCTTAAGTGAGTGCCATACGTTAAGGCTTTGTGATTGTGTGTGCGTGTGTGCGTGTATGTAGTATGTGTGTGTGTGTGTGTGTGTGTGTGTGTGTGTGTGTGTGTGTTACCCCCGTGGCAGGTTACCTCTCATCCCGTCAGACTGGTTTTCCCAGCCCTGTCGTTTGATTGTTTAGTTGAATGTGTTTGTGTAACCAAAAGCTTAGCGCTGTCTGTTTGAAAATGTCATTGTGTATATAATGATAAATAAGTGGATTTCTGCAGCTGAACATTATTCCTCTCTGAAGTTACACAACCCTTTCAGCAGAATTTAACTTATCAATGAGGTGACTGCTGTTTTTAAGAGGTAGCACCTTTGGGTGGCCTTTAGGAATTCAACATCCCACACATTAACCCCCCATGATGGGGAGCTGAAGCAGGCAGAGTGCCTTTTTGGGCTCAAAGTTCCTATAATTAATGAGGTTATTATCAGAAACACCCCACTAACAAACTGTCAATTGGGAAACATGATGTGATACAATACTAGTAATTGCTCATACAATAAGTCACTATTATGGAAAAGTATTAGACTCTAATACCTGCACATTGGCCTGTAACTTCATAATTAACTACGTCTGAAAGCAGAAGTCTAGGGCAAACAATTGCAAGTTTCTTCAGTGCGCATGTCACAAAATGATTTAAAAAGAAAAGCCAAATTCTGGAAAAACAGAAAAAAATAACTGACAATTTGAAAAAAAAGTAACATTTTGAGAAAAAAAAGTCAAATTCAGAGAAAAAAAGTCTAATTTGAGATGCATTGTGGGAAATGTAGTTTATGGGCAATGTGCTTCTGTAAAGCGGCATGTAACTGTATAATAAACATATTATATTCTTTGCAAGCTCTTGTGGGGCCACATGAAATGAAGTCGCGGGCCGGATTTGGTCCCCGGGCCTTGAGTTTGACACCCCTGACCCTTTCATGGAAAAATTCATCATCATACATTTGGCTTGCTTGAGTAATGATGAAATATAATGTTATTGGTTCTCATTGCTGCTTGAGCAACCACTGCACTATAATACTCAGCATCACTCCTGAGATTGCTCACTTGCCACACCCATGATTACCAATATTGACAGTGGGAAACGCGCATGTACATAAGGATGCTGTGCGGTGGGGGGTCCGCCTCTGTCTGCCTCCATGTTTCTCACAAGCACTGTCGCTAATATCAATTGTTTGTGTCCTAGCATGCAGGTATAAACGTGCTAAGGTGAGGTTATATCTCGGTATCCATGCTTTAATATATCGAGGCCCAGCCCTTTTCTGTCTGTGTGGAGCCGACCGGCTTCCTGTGTTGGTGCGGTTCTCCATCAAAGCTGCGTCAAGTCACACAGAAGCAGGACGAGTACAAGCGGAAATGAAGTGATGTTGCTTTCAAAATAAAATATATTGAGAAGAACAATTTGACATTCAGGCAATCAAAATAAGAAATTCTATAAAACAAAACGGGGTAAATGTTTGATATAATAAAAGCTATGTTTACATATTAATGCAGCCTTAACTGTCATCCAATAATACAAACTACCTACACTGGTTATTGTCTTTACTGATAAAAACAAACATGGCCCTGCATTGACCTTTGGAGTTATTTATTCTCATGTTTACACAAATAACTATTTAAAACAAGTACAAAAGACAATAACAGAATAGAAGAAAATACAATACATATTTACAACATATCTGAAAATTAATGAACAAATGTTCAAGGGGAATAAACTGCAATAAAATAATACAGTAAATCTGAATATAAGATGTTATGTCATTTAAATGCCTGTGTATTTCAGTGTCTTTAATCATAAACAGTGAACATGTAATGTAATGTAATGAACATGATGTTCCAGTGAAGCTTTTATTTTGAAACCCCCTAAGCGGAAGTGTGTGTTTTCCGCCTGGCTTGTCTCCAGTGCTCCGGCAGGGAGAGAGCGCACAGGGAGCCGCTGCTGCCACCTCAACATGGAGTAGCGATACCCAGCTTTTAGTGCTAAAAAGCGGATCCCACAGAGAGGAATACACCCCGGCTTCTGTCTAATACATCCTGCAGAAGTCCCCGCAAATGATACAGCGGCCATTATTTCTTTTAAACGCACAGGGAAGCTCGGCTTTTATTTGAAAGATGGCGAACGACTCTCCGGCTAAAAGTCTAGTAGACATAGACTTGGCTTCATTGCGGGTGAGTGCTGCAAAACCGAGCCTATGTTTTTTTGGTTGTTTCGCTGCCTTTTATTTCACTGGGCTCGATAAAACACACCTCCCCAAGTCTGCCTAATATTACCAAGTGTTAGCATGTGCTGAAATGTGCTTTGTGTTGGAGCTGGAGCATTAAAAATGACCGCTGAGCCAAAGCGAGGTGTTGCCAGTGTCTGGTTTTCCTTTGTTCGAGATGCATTTGGCATGTAGGGGAGACCAGTGCGCAACAGCTGGCTCACACTGGACCATGTTGTGCATAAATGACAAAAATATCAACATTGCTATTTATTTACATTGAATCGTCTTTGTGTCTTTTCTTTTCAGGATCCAGCTGGGATATTTGAATTGGTGGAGGTGGTTGGAAATGGCACCTATGGACAAGTATACAAGGTTGGTGAGGCGCAGTGCATGGCCTGTCCTGTTTTCACTGTCAATGCTTAGAATACATGTTCTTTATTCTTCTTATGAAGCCTGGGAACAACAGGAAATTCATTTTAAAAAATCACATTTTCAGATGTTGCAATCAGACCACATCATGGATGGTTGAGCTGAAACATACTGGAGGAGGCTGTTAGATTTTCCAGTTAAGATTGTGTGTTTTGCTATCAGTCTGATCGTAGGTAATTGTTCAGCAGGGACGTGTGTGTAAAGAGTGAATCAGACAGTCTGATGCATCACACATCTTACATCACCTGTCTTACTGAAAACTAGGTGAGGAGGCAAGGATGGAGAAACAGTATCTGTCATAACACTAATCCTGTTGGCCTCACATCTCTGTCTGCAGCTTATTCATTTGTTATCTTTTTTTACACAAAACCAAATTTCATATCCTGTTTTAAATCAGGACTTTTCCCCTTCACTGGATGGGAATCCCACTCTCCGGGCCATCTGCTCTTGGTGTCACATTTCTCTGTTGGAAATTAACATTGCGGCTGTTGAAAGACATTGCCAAGGAGGGAGAGAGAGAGACAGCTCGAGTAGAAGTGAAGGATGTGGGGTTTGATGGAGGGATGGCCTTGGATTGGAGACTCATCCGTCCTAGTGTTGCATCGGGCCTCCTTGTGTTGTTATTGCTGCAGCTAGCAAGCCAGGAGGCTCCATTTTGTTCCCCACTGTTGGATGACATTTAACCACATGCCTACATGCAAAGCAGACATCTAGTTTGCTAAGCACGGCCTAGTCTGTTAATAGGCTAGCCCGGGAAAAAAACATCAATTTGCTTGTGCACTAAGCAGCAAGCTTAGCCGAGTATTTGATTCTGACAGCCCTCAGTGCTCCAGTGACCTGCATTCAATCCCTTAGTGCTGGCAACTTCCGGGACCCTCCACACACACACATCTGTACTCATATGATCGCCACACCTGAAATCAGGGCCTCATGCTTGTCATGAGGAAGTGTGATGCTCGCATGCTATCTCGCCACCAGATGTGTTTTAAAGCGGGGCGTATGGGACAGAGAATTACTGCTGCTGCCTCTTTTTGTCCCCTTTAATCTCTCGCTCCATTCACTGTCCACTGCTAATTCTATTTGCGAGTGCTGCTGTTTGGGAATGGATTCTGTGCGAGAGGGGGCTGTCAGATTAGCCTGCAGTTTACACAAAGACATGGTCCTAACAGCCTGCATGGGAAAGTGTCTATAGCACAGTCATAGCTAACTGTAGCCTCATGCAGCAGTAGCCTGCTTTTCGATCAGCTGTCAGTCACTGCATTGACTGTCATGTTAACCAGTTGAATGAGCATGTGGTGGTGGAGGGGGGTGAGGGGGGCTGCAACTGGTAGAGGAGCAGCTGTCCAGATCCAGGCAGAAGCTGCCCAACGCTCTCACAAAGCTGAGTTTGTGTCCCGGCTCTCTGGGTCTCTCTGGCTGTCCGTTAAGATCCACAGAAAGGAGGAGTTTGTCCGCAGGGTTTCAAACACCAACCGACTGAATAATCACAACAGCCCCCCAACTGAAACAGGGGTGGAGTTTCTTCTCCCTCTGAGACCTTTTCTGCTTTGTCAAGCACTTGGTCACAGATTGCAAGGCCCTTTTAGCTCGCACAATGTGACCAAGCTTCTTGATTTGTGGTGACTTTTGATTCCTTTCAGTCGTCTTTCCTTTGGCTGCTTTTGTTTTTCAAGGCAGGCAATAGGGAGTGGAATGTGTGATCTTGATTGGATGTTGCATTTGAAGTTGGATTTCAGAACTAATGTCCATTATAACTGCATTTATTCCATAGGGGGAATATTTGTTTCTGCAAGCTTTTTGCTGACTTGTAGTCGGAGTAGTTTTTGGTGCATTGCTGTCTATAGTAAGGAAACATTTCCCTGCCTCTTGAACCTGTAGTGTCAGATTTGTAGTCTTGTCCATTTATTATTTGATCATAAATCTTAATTCTGATCATTTTAGAAAAAGAGGTTTCTCTATAATGCACCCGATTAAAAGGCCTCGGGTCCTATACCACCACAGTCTATCTCTATACCCCTGCTGTGTTGCACTACTTTACCCAAAGGAAAATAAAGAAGCAAGCTGTTCTGTAAGACCCGAAATGCCATGTCAAGCTTTGTGCGGCCATGCTGTGCTGCCGGCTCTGGAGATGCTCTCTCTGCCAGGAGGGCAGCCGTTGCCCCTGGAGAGGAGCCAGAGTACAGTCAACCTCTGAAAACACAGCACTGCAGAATCTGACTGACGGCCACGATGAGAATTACGTTATGGCTAAAAAGCCCTTTTCCAAATCACTCAACTCGTTGTGATGAGATCTATAGATAGATGTGCAGTATTATGAGCATGCATCAAATACAAAAAGTAGTGTAGTTCTCAAAATGCATGCTTTCTATACTTCTGGTGCTTTTAACTAAAACTGCTGTAAAGTTTAAACTAGTCGATCCCTCCATGTTTTTTGCAAATGACATTTGCCTCACATGCTTGGTATCTCGTCATTTTAAAGTAATGCATATACCTCCACACTCTTTAAAAGCTCCTGCACAAGAGATCCTCTCCCCCCTCCGCTCTTTATCAGTTGGCTCTGAACCAGCTGCCTCAGCAGATTATCTCAGGTGCCCCACTCTGCGGGATATAGGAATAAAAAGAAAAAAGAGAGTAATGATAACATAGAAAAGACATAATTCCTCAAATTGAGCGTGGCATGCAGGGAAGACTCCCCCTGCTCTACAGAACAGCCATATATAGCCAGGCCTGAGGCTTTACAGAGCCCCCCGCTGACCTGCCCCCCCCGCGTGCTGTGCATCCATGGGACGTGCCAAGGCTGTGCCAACACTATTTCCATACCATACAGTAATGTGCATGCGTGTGTTTGGCTGGTGAATTGACTTTGAGGAGGCTATTTGGTTCACTCGTTATCACCAGCAAGGTCACGTGGCTGTATACTCCCCATGGCCTCAAATGGAAAGATGATTTAATTATTCATGTGCACATTTACAACTCATAACAGGCTTTTTAAGGAGGCATTCTTGACATCCAGTGGTATCATTTGCTCATTCAGAAGCAGCGTATGTCATATTTTCAGTAGTTCCTCCTCTCCCAGCACCATCTCCCTTTTGTTTACTCCCCCCACCTTAAGGGGCAGCCTCGCCCCCTGCCCTCAGGACGGGCACATGGGGTAGGAACTAAACCTCTCATACAATCTGTCAAACACCTACCAGTGCCATGGAGAGGGGAGGGGGAAGTGTCTCAGGCCTCAGTCATGTGACACAGCAAAGGCTATTGACTAATACTGGATTAATGTAGACATCAGTGTTAATAATGCATTATTGGGCAATCACTACCAATATTTGAAGAAGGCATATAACAAACAATCGTTGGCAAGGATCCCATAAATGTGGTTTTTGTTTTGCACATGTGTTACACTCGAACAATACACTTGATTATCAAAGTTGACAGTGAATCGTGGCGCTGCCAACACGCCGTTAGCTTGATTTGTCAACACGTCGACAGGCATGGGGTTTGGAAAACTGAGGATCTAGCTGAATAGAATAGAAGCCGTGTGATTATTATTACTTGATATTTAGGAATGTGTAGCTGTTTGGCAGATTAAATTAACTTTAATAATTATGACACCAATAATGACTTGTTACTTGCACATATAGGTTTAAGACCCCTTGAAAATGTCTCTTGTGTTAAGCTCATTGGTATATCCATTGGATCTGAATGGTTAAACAATTAAAGTGTCCCCCATGCTGCATCAGGGGCCCATATTGGGACACACTCCCTCCCTTTTGTATGACCAATACACTGCATTAGCACACATGCTAGCAAGAACATTAATTTGTGATCTTTCTAGATGGCTGAAAAGGCTTGTTCAAGTTGAAGCAGACTGAATCCTCTCTAACTGACACAGTATGCATCTCTTTTGTCCCCATCTCCCCCCCACACTGACCCTCTCCCTAATGGGTGTCACAAGACCCACAACGTCCCCTGACTGACACGCTGCCTGAACAGAACTCCCAGTGTCTGTCTGTCCGTGTGTGTGAGAGAGTGTGTTCATGCCACTGTCTGTGTGAAGCTCATTGAGAAACCTCATTACTGAGTGGTGTTGAGATGAGACACAAAGGCGCTGGCGGAGCAGACAGACTCCTGCCTGTCTTTCTTCAGCGCCTTCGCTCGACAGCAACACTCTTCTCGTTTTAATTCACCCGGACAAATAGTTCTTCACACTCTAAATTGGGTTTTTTTATTTATTCAAGACTAAACTCCTTTTCTCGTTAATTAAGACCCACACACCTTGCTTCCATTCGTACCACATGCAGCTCAAAACTATTTCCTAAACAACAGCTCTTCCTCTAGTTTTGATGTTAATGTAATGACCACATACCAGGGCCTGGGATGTGTCCTCACAGTTGGATCTTTCCCCTGCTTTAAAAACCTGTTAGTGAAGTAGACATACCTATCAATTACGGATATAATTCACTGCATGTCGTTGCCGGCTGATTTTCACTCCGACACGCTTTCAGGTGTAATATTCAAATTCCTGTTTAGACCTGATGAACGTCTCCTGCAGGCGTCTTTGATCGCTTACAGCAGCCGAGCACTGCACTGGGATCAATAGTCACATCAGCTGGCCTCCTGTTGGAGACTCTCTCCTCATCTCCCTGTTCACTTCCTTTATTCTCTGTCCGCTCTCATTTCTGTCTTTGTCTCCGCCACTTCTTCCATCCTTGCTTCTCTAGAGAGCGCTGGATTGGAGACTGTGTGTGTGAGAATTGGGTCAGTGTGCTGGTATGCAGTTGAAGTTAAAGAGCCCAGAGAGGCAGGGGGCAAGGCACAGTCCTGGATGTCATGTGCTCACTGCTGATTGATCATGTCTTCCCCCAGCAAAGTTCAGAGGCTTACTACAGTGTAAGTATGGCAATGGAAATCCTAGGCTCCACAAACAATGCAATTGTCATTAGCATGCATCTGATGTGTGTTGCAGCAGAAGTGTGTGCTCAAGAGTGTGTGACGGTGACCTGCCTGTGTATCACCTTCTGTCCACCCACTCTACCAGTTCAAATGTCACCTTAGATCTTCACACAACCATACATGAGGGGGTCATCCATCCCTCATTACCACAGCTTTACCAACACACACTCACAGACACACACACACACTTTCACTAGTGACCTTTTAAAGAACCAAACTAACGCCCCCAGTGGTTCTCTCCCTCCCCTCTCTGTGTGAACTCATAACATGAAGCCCAGTTTGTTTTGCAGCTACACGGCCGGTTAAAAGCATGTCGCTCAATTCCAGCACTGTGTTGTGCAATGGGAACGTGAGCCAAGTGTTACCGGTGTGGAAACAAGTAGGTCGAAGCCAGCAAGCATTCTGAAGTGTGATTGATCTTACATTAATGTACACAATGTAGGTTGTTTGTGTTCTAGTCCATCAGGATGCAGAGGATACGAGCCTTGTGGAGAAGTGTACATGTTGAAACAGTGCTCACTTGTTACCTGGAAATCACCCCAAAAACACAAATAACAACAGTGATTTTGCACTTCTTTTGGTTTTAAGAAGACATTGTGACAACACCTGGTGTGTATTTTCTTCACAGTGGACATCATGAACAAAAAGCTCATTAAACGGTAAAGTTCAAATTCTAGAGCAGCCTCAATTATGGAGTTTCCGGAGATTTCCTCACCACCACAGTTGTTTTGATGTATTTGGTTTTAGTGTAGATTTGAACCCTCTGGCTCTAAAGGCAGTCAGTAAGTCAGTCGGAGGTTTAGTGCTGCGCTGGAGAGAGGCCAGCAGCACATCTGGCCGTGGTTAAGAGCAGCAGCGATGGAGGCCAGGAGCTGAGTGATAGCTCGGTGCCTCAGATAACCTCCACAGCCACGCCCCCGCTGGCTGCTGCAGGGCCGAACACAGGGGCCGAACACAGGGGCCAAACACAGGACTAGAGCTGAAACCATTGACAACTGTCAACAGTACCTGATTCACATGGTTTGTTCTAACTTGTGTTGTTCAGGACAATGCATTGATGAAATCAGGGGATTAAGTGTGCCAAGAAACTCCTGTGAAATCCGGCCATCCATCTCATTACTCGTATGCTTATGTTGTGTAACCCAGTTGTTTTGTGGTATCGAGATGCAATAACCTTGTGGCCTAGATAACCCTACCTCCACCCACAAGATGAAGGAAGTTGTGTGACGACTCGCAGAGAAAGTTTTACTGCTCACATCCTAGTATCTCTTCCAAACCACATCACTTTAAATCATCAATAAACCACCTGTAAACAGCTAGTTTTCTTAGGTTTGTATACATTTAACTAGGCACTATGAACCTTAACGAGTAAACCTAAACAGTGTTGGTTTGGTAACAACACTCGGAGGGTTGATTGAGTGCATAGACACAATTGGCTTCTTGATTTTCAAAGTCCCTACCTCCTTTTTTATTCTACCGATCGTTAAGGAAGAGAAACCATTGACACCATTTAACCTGTGCAGGTGCAGTGTTTACACCTGGTATGGGCTGGAGGGCATTTAACAAAACAAGTGGTGGCAGTGAGTGAGTCATTGTTGACTCTATTTTTGGGGTTTGTAGTTGCCACCAAAATGTTATCGTGCAGTGACAGTATTCATCAAATATGCAGTCGTCTTTCATAATAGCAATCCTTCTTTTGACATAACATACAGTAAGTGAGAAACTAGCAAAGGAGAGTTTCTTTGCACATGAGATCGTATTCATAGCATGTTAACAAGGCATTACACATAATATAAATAAATAAACAGTTTTAAGCACCAGCCTTTAAGAGATATCTATGAATGAATTATAAAAGACCCCCATCACCCCAGCCACAAACTGTTCAGCCTGGCAGGCGTCACCACAGCATCCGGACAAAAACCTCCAGATTCAGAGACAGTTTCATCCCACAGGCAATAAGACTGATAAACACCTGAACTGCTGAAACAATTTCATAATATCCATCTGCTACTTAGTAATTATTTATCTATTTATCTAATATATCATTCCAATAGCTTGCATAATAGACTCTTATTTCACTTTTTTAAAACTATTTTTCTTTTTGTATTTACTTGCACTATTTGTCTGTTTATCTGTATTATTGTGTTGCGCTGTTGGAGAAGCCTGTGACCTAAAATTTTCATCGACATAACTACTCTGTAGCTATGTTCGTATGACAAATAAAGAACCTTGAACCTTGGTGGAGAAACATGTTCTTTATTAATAGTTTAATACAAAAATCCTATGACTTTTTTTGCACTTAAATCCCAGTGATGAGTTGAGTTCCTCCTGGTCCACCTGTGTCCAGTGAACCCAGCACAGCATGCAGCTCAGGAGGCCATAAAGTCGGCTTCACTGTTGTTTTTTTTTTAGTGGCGACCCCTGGGATCAAAGTGGAGAGGATTAAAGGCATTGTAAAGTGTCCCTCTCATCCGCCCAGTGAAAGAGCGGGCCCCTAAGCTTGCATGGCTTTTATTGTCATAATCCATACAGTTTCAATTGACTATGGAATGCACTGGCTAAGATGATGATGGTGGTGGAGGTCCGGGCGTCCATATGTGTGTTTGAATCTGCATTTACTGTCCACTTGCTTTATGCAGAGTGTGTGTGCCTGGCTGAGTTGCTGCAGAGACACAGCAGCACGATCACTGCAGTGTCCTTAAGAGTCAGAGAGGGGAATACCCATACTCGATCTGGACAGCTCCCAAAAATGTCCCATGCTTTATCTCCTGTTGGGGCGGGAGGGACGGGGGGGGGGTCGAGGAGAGGCCTCTATTTCTGTCCTTTGTTTATGTAAGGAGTGGCAGTATGGTGTTAGGAGAGCAGAGGAGTCTGGGAATGTTGGGGATATATAGCTTGGGAATAATATTCTCATCTGTGGTATGCACTGTATATATAGCGTGGGATAAGAGATTGTAATCTTTAATGGGAAAAACGTTTCAATTGATTGATAGCAGACCATAACACATATATTATTTAATAAACAATGACATAAGACAGAACACATTTCAGAAGCTGGAAGCACCAAATGGCTGAGGGTTATGTAAGGTTAAAACCATTATAATGGTACCACATATTTTATTTCAAGATCTGGGTACAAAAGCATAGAAATCTGATATTCTTTGGACGAGGGAAATGTTGTCGATATATGCTTTAAAAGTTTTGAGCACCAAACCCAGCCCTTAAAGGGGACCTATTATGCAAAATCCACTTGTTCATGTCTCTTCTACATCAACATGTGTCCCCTCTTCTTCATGTCTCTTCTTCATCAACATGTGTCCCCTCTTCTTCATGTCTCTTCTACATCAACATGTGTCCCCTCTTCTTCATGTCTCTTCTACATCAACATGTGTCCCCTCTTCTTCATGTCTCTTCTACATCAACATGTGTCCCCTCTTCTTCATGTCTCTTCTACATCAACATGTGTCCCCTCTTCTTCATGTCTCTTCTACATCAACATGTGTCCCCTCTTCTTCATGTCTCTTCTACATCAACATGTGTCCCCTCTTCTTCATGTCTCTTCTACATCAACATGTGTCCTCTCTGTGTAAAGAGACTCTGAAAGTTTCAGGAGAAAAGATTCGCTCTCTTTTTGTCCTGATCCATTTCTATAAAAACCTGTCTGAAAATGAGCTGATCAGATTTTGGCCACTTTATGATGTCATAACGATTTTTTGGCTTGAGTAACCATTAGCCAATCACCAACCAAGGTACCCCCCCCCCCCTTATCACCTGAATCTCCTCCTAGAGCACCATTGTGTTCTTTTTAACCAAATATCTCTCAGAGGGGCGTGGGGAGGGGCTCCTTATTTTCATCTAAAGTAACAGACAGAGAATCAGCACTTTGGAAACAGGGCTGAAACAGAGGGGATTATGGGTAATGCTGCAATGATCTGTTTGGTGTTTCAGCCAATCAGAGACATGTTCTGTATATATCTGAGACCTGTAATATATTGATGAAAAACAGTATAATAGGGGACCTTTAATGTGTCAATTTGTATTGTACTTTACATTCTGTGTTTCTGTCCGTCACGTGTCCACCCACTTCCTTTTGTTCACCTCGTTTAATCTCTCCACAGGGACGACATGTCAAGACTGGACAGCTGGCTGCCATCAAAGTCATGGACGTCACGGAGGTAAGGCTGAACAACATATTGCTCTGATTTGAACATACCCATGTGCAGGAGTAGTGTTGATAGCAAACGAACTCAAAACAAGGTTCTTGTATAACACAGTTCTTGTGCATACTATAGTCTGGTTATTATTTAAATCAGGAGACATTCCATTGGATCTGACGTCGACATGCTTTTGAGCTTACAGAGGAGAAATGCTATGCTCTGTAATGAGTCTTCCCCCCCCCCATAATAAACAGCAGGGGCGGGGTAGGGGCAACAGGATGCTTATTGAGTGAAGTACGTCATTATGCTGCCCTCAGCTGTGGGAGGTCCCGTCTGCAGATGAGAGAACGCACACAACCACACATGCAGAAACACAAAGCAGGAGGTTTCAGAGTCGCAGCGGAGGCCAACAACCCACACACACACGTACATAATAATGATTTGTAATCATAGACGCGCATTCACAAATAACAAGCTGGTGTGGTGGATGAGTTGTTCATCATCCTCCCTGGGGAGCAAAGTCTTAAGTCATCATCTTAATCGCCCTCATGCATCACTTCCTTTTAGAAAAGACACTTTTTTTCTTGACATATATTATTGCCATCTTTTAGCAAAAGACATTATACAAATATATAACCCTCCAAAGGGCACACAATAAATACATTCAACAAGTTACTATAGCAAAATTAATACATATACAGATGTTGACAGTAAATAATCATTCAAAGGAGACGACTAAAAGACACATTTACTGATATTCAGAGCCACAGATAGAAGCTGTGCCCCGACTCGCCGGCGGCCACTCCTCACCTGAGCTGACGTCACGCTGAGTCATGAGTGACACACTGATTAGTTATCATGTGTTCCCGGTATATTGCTCTGACACTGCTCAGGTGTGTCTTCTAGACATGTAGTAACTTATGGAATGATTTTCTCGTAAAGCCCACTGAGGCTGAACCTGTTTCACTATATGTTGTCTTGAAATAATGAACGTTGTGCATGATATTTTCTAGACGGGTATCAGAGCCATATGTTATTACCTGCACATGATTGAATGATTCATGTGTATTGTCTGCATCATTAAACTAATAAAGCAGATGTACCTATTTGTAGGTCAGCTTGACTTCACCTACCTGACACTTTTGTTGCCCAATAATTCATTGCGAAAATGTAGTTTTAGACAATTTTAGCTATGAATAAATTGAAAATATATTCATTTCTCCTATAATGAAAATACTTCCTTATTTTATCCCTACATCCATGCTCACTAAATAAAAGCAAGTAGCTGGATAGAATATATTCTTACAGATAATGCAGTAAGTCATATCCAAACCACATCTTTATTTGAATCACGCTCTTTCACAAGAAGAAATATTTCTTCATCACCTGATTGGCGCAGTGTGTGTTAGTCTTCTTTCCTGGCTGTCGAGCTCATCCTGAGTCAGTCTGACCCACATGATCAAATCCCAAACACTCCTCCACTCCTCTTCTGAGCTGCCAAATACCCTCACAGCTCAAAACCAATGTCTTTCTACTTTAGATTTGTCTAATTTAATACTAATAACATTTCAAATCTTCTGGTAGAAAGTTGACTGGACAGATTGGGACCCTGCCTTTAAACAAATCTTAAACATCCTTGTTTTGTATATTCTGCTTTTCTCATATCTCAGAATGTATTAAGAACATGGCTACTTATCTGGACTGCACTTAGTATTAAACCTTTTTATTATATCCCCTTCATGTTAATGTATGGATATTAGTGTGACCCAGATGAATAATTCCTTTTGTGTGTGTAATGTATATTCAGATATAGTTAACCGTCATATCCTCCACTCCTCTGTCTCTCTCACATCCCCATATGATTGAGTCAGTCTCGGTCTCACCGTGTGACTTGTGGCAGCGAAGCTTTCACAGTCGGCAGTGTGATAATCCAACAGCTGCACGGCAGAGAGGGGGTAGATGGGAGAGGGGAGGGGGTGCGCACAACAGAAAGGCTTACGTCAACTCAAAACGAGTCATGCAGCAGCAGCATGGCCGCCTGCACAGACAGCCAACTGCCATTTTGCTATAGGTGATGCACAGTTTAGCAATAACACACTTAGCATCACCTTCTTTTCTATTCAATAACATCACTGCTAATATAAAGAGGCACACCTTGTCTGCAGGGATGATGCTGTCCAACCACCCCCCCCCCCCCCCTCCTCCTCCCACTGTACTCTCTATAGGAGCGGCGATGCGACCGTAAAGCAGAGCGGGCTGACCCCTGCATGTGTTCAATTAGTGCGTCACTGTTAATCAATCACGTTGCTATTGGGTGCAAGCAGGGAGAGTTCACACTGCAGCTAGCTCTGACCTTTCATTCAAGAGCAGGTTCGCTAATAATATTTAAAGTCACTTTACAGCAGAATTAAAACATCTGGGAGTTTTCTTAAACGTATAGATGTCCCTATGGTGTCTACAGCTTTTAAAGGATGTGATTTTTAAAAGGTGTCCATTTTTGGTTGATTAATAATCATTTATTCAGCGATCCTAAAACCACTTTGCATAATAGTTATTGTGTTTTTGGCTTTTATTGTTGGCTTATTTTTCAAGTATTTCACAAGTTTCATTTATCATGTTTTAGTGTATTGTGATCAAACCCTTTTTTTTGCAACTATTTTTTTTGCAGATAAATAGGAGGCATGATTCCTAGCTCTCTACCCAGCTATAAGCAAGTGTACTCAGGATGTGTGCCTGATGCTAATGGATCTGCCATCGATCTAATGTATATTTAGTAGTTCTCTTAACAAGGGATTACTGATAATGGCTACTGTACACTATCAACTCACTTTGAGACTCGCTCATGCATCATTAATCCCTAAACAAAGGAATAATTTGCCAGTAGACGGACGACTCCTGCTGCATTGTTATAAAGCAGAGTCCCAGATATTCGATGGACGAGGCCTGGCTGAAGTGAAACCACCGGGGCGTTGTCACATATCTTGACACTGTGCTACGACCCTCAGTATAAAAGTGAATTGATTTGGATCCGAAATTAAATGTCCAAATGATGATTAAGGTCCCACTCAGTAGGGCTGCACGATTTGTGGAAATAATCTAATTGCGACAGATATTGCGATTCGACTTGCGATATTTGTTTTTAAGAGACCCAACGGAAGTTTATTGTAAAATGCGGCCATATCTCCGGCTGGGAAGGTCGTATCAACGTGCTCCCGTCTCTAGCACCCCCGCAGCCCGAGCTACGAGTGAAAGAACTAAACTTACATGAAACTTCCGTTGGGTTGCTTTAAAGTCAAGCTTCAGTTTCAGACTCACCCTGTAATAGATGTAGAACATGTGATGGAGCATTACTAACCTGACTCAGATGGTTTGTTTCACCAAACCATCTAGGAAAGCTCCATTGGAAGCCATTTGGAAAAGGGCAGGCACTTTCAAAAACACTTGGCAGGTGATTGGATCAATCTGTCTATCCCCTTCTATCATGGGCCACTTCTGATTGGTTAACAATGGCTGGTACATGTGGAGCCCACCTTTTTTTTGCGATTTCATAATAGCATAATTTCAAATCGCAATTAATCAATTAATCGTTCAGCCCTTCCTGCACAGTGATTATTTATAAATGTAGATTTTCCAGTGGAAGGACAACCCCCCTCTTGTCTGTGTCCCCCCCCCTCTGTAACGTGTCATTGTGTGTCTAGGATGAAGAGGAGGAAATTAAACTGGAGATCAATATGCTGAAGAAGTATTCCCACCACCGAAACATAGCCACCTACTACGGTGCTTTCATTAAGAAGAGCCCCCCGGGACACGATGACCAGCTCTGGGTAAGTCCTCAAATCCACTCCAGATATTAAGGCTCAGGACGCAGTATGGGAAATATGTAGCGGCCATGATCAGTTCCTTTACAAACCTAGGTATCTTAATCTCCATGATCCATAACTTATCTACTGTGGTCTCCTTTAAATGTGGATATTATTACAAGGGTCAAGTCATTATTCTTTTGGATTTTCTAGACGTATCTTCTGATGCTTGTTTTTGATTGTAGTTGGTGATGGAGTTCTGTGGAGCTGGTTCCATCACAGACCTGGTGAAGAACACGAAGGGGAACCAGCTGAAAGAAGACTGGATCGCATACATCTCCAGAGAGATCCTTAGGGTGAGTGCATCCTCCTCTCCTCTCCTCCTCTCCTCTTTCCTCTTCCTCACTCATGTCCTCCCCTTTCTCCACCTCAGGGTCTGGCCCACCTTCACGCCCACCACGTCATCCACCGTGACATCAAGGGTCAAAACGTCCTGTTGACTGAGAATGCAGAAGTGAAACTGGGTAAGTGGCAGGTGTTACCTCTAAATGTGTCCCTCCCTTTCCTCACGTCTGTGCACAGCACCTTGTTGACGGTCATGTCTTTCCGTAGTGGACTTTGGTGTCAGTGCTCAGCTGGATCGGACCGTGGGGAGGAGGAACACCTTCATCGGGACGCCTTACTGGATGGCCCCTGAGGTCATCGCTTGTGACGAGAACCCAGACGCTACATACGACTACAGAGTAAGAGCCTCAACACCCAAAACTCGACATAAGAGCTGCAACGAGTACATTTTCATAGGAAATGCTGTTTCCAGCTTCCCAAATATGGACTTTTGCTGCTTTTCTTATATCATATGTAACTTTATTTACTAGATATACTGTTTTAGACTTACAAAACAGACATTTGAAAACATCAGCTTTAAAAATGATGTGCATTTTAAACTATATTGAAAATAAAAATGTGCAGCTTTACTTGACATTGAACACTTGATTTGTACGTGTGCTTGCTGCAGTTTTGCTTAATTTGCGCCTCCTTGTCTCGCAGAGTGATCTGTGGTCTACTGGTATCACAGCTATTGAAATGGCTGAAGGAGCGCCACGTGAGTACCTGTTTATTACCTAATATTAGTTTATTTTTGTGTCGGTTCAGTCACATGAATTTGTAATTGATCTTCTGTGTTTGTTCGTCTTCTTCCAGCACTTTGTGACATGCACCCAATGCGTGCGCTCTTCCTCATTCCAAGAAACCCTCCTCCCAGACTCAAGTCTAAAAAATGGTAGGTACTGTAAACACCCAGAAGATGTGGTTTGTTATGCATTTACATCCTTTCCAATCCTCATTACACCCATAAAAATCCTCACACAAAAGGTTTGAATCAGATTTTATGTATAGATTTCCTACTTGGCCTCTCCATTTGTACTCTTGTGCATTTAGATTTTATCTCTGACCTCAGCCCAGGCAGCTACAGAGGCTTGAATCCAGAGCTTGTGTTCTGCTGCTGAGTTGAACATCTGTGGTACACCTGCTCTGAGGCTCAGCCTCTCCTGGCACGCACTGCAGCGCTGCTCTGGACGCACTGCAGACAAGGTTTCTTTAGCTAGCACTAGATCTAAGATGAACTACTTCCTGTTTTAACAGACACATTTAGCCTGGCTTTGCTTTTACATTAATATAATCCTGTGTTAGGGCTGTGCAATTAATCGTATTTTAATCGCAATTACGATTTTGGCCTGCCACAATTACGAAAACAACATAATCGAAAAAAACAATTATTTAGCTTTGCTAGGTTGATCTAATTAATTTTGGTCTCATTTATTTGTATTTATCATATTTATATATGTTTAGTAGCTTGTGGAAGTGCGCTCCAAAATATTTGTTGATCTTGTTTATTGGTATTTATTATTTTGATATTATTTATTTAAATGTAAATATAAATGTATCATTTATTTAATTAATTTTTGTATTGGTTTTTCAGTTGAATTATACGTTCAGGGTAATCAACAGTTAAAAAGATACTGTTCAAATTATTATTTGTATTTGTTTTAAAGTTCAATACATTTATGTTTTCAAAGTCAATGAATAATCGTATTTAATAATCGTGATATCAATTATTGACCCAAATAATCGTGATTATGATTTTTGCCATAATCGCACAGCCCTATCCTGTGTTGCATTAAAAATACTTTATTTAGCTTTAAGATTATTTGATTTCTTAAATTGTTTCATTAAAAGTGAATCAAACCCTCACTTTAATGGCAGCAGGTGCAATTGTGATGAGAATTGAATTGCAGTGCACCCCATATTTCAGTGTTTTCATGGTATATATGTGACGGATGCTACCTGTCCACATGTATAAACCTCAATGTTTCAGAGACATGGAGGGAAGATGTGTTGCTAGGGCTGATGGGTAATCTGTAATCTCAAGCTTGTTTGCAGGAGTGTCCGTTTGACTTAGCATCCCTGGATGTGCTCCATGCTTTCATGGCTGAAGCATCTGTCTGGCAGCCGCTGTCTCCTTGTATCTGTCACCCTCTCGGTCCTGCATCGTTCCTCCCTGCTGACTCTCCTCCGCCCACTACAGGTCCAAAAAGTTCATCAGCTTCATCGAGGGCTCTCTGGTGAAGAACTACACGCAGCGGCCCCCCACAGAGCAGCTTCTGAAGCACCCCTTCATCCGAGACCAGCCCAACGAGAGGCAAGTCCGCATCCAGCTCAAAGACCACATTGACCGCACCAAGAAGAAGAGGGGGGAGAAAGGTGCGTCTGGCTTGTCTGCCTTTTAGTTATCTCTTAAAAAAAGTTTCTGGTTCTAACTTGTTCCATTTTTTCTTGTACAGATGAGACAGAGTACGAGTACAGTGGCAGTGAGGAAGAGGAAGAGGATCCCCCAGAGCAGGAGGGAGAGCCCAGGTGAAAACAAAACAGGTTTACCTACTTATTAGAAGTCATTACAATCTAACCCCACTGTTTTTAATCGCTGCCATCTTTCCTCCTATCGTCTAGCTCCATTGTCAATCAGCCAGGGGAATCCACGCTGCGCCGCGACTTCATCCGACTGCAGCAGGAGAACAAGGAGCGTTCAGAGGCGCTGCGCCGCCAGCAGCACCTCCAGGAGCAGCAGCTCAGAGAGCAGGAGGAGTACAAGCGCCAACTGCTGGCCGAGAGGCAGAAACGCATCGAGCAGCAGAAGGAGCAGAGGAGGCGGCTGGAAGAGGTTGGAGGATATGATGACATTTTTTTTTCTGTTATGCAGCTCTAAGATAAGAGACTGATCTACATTACATTACATTACTTTTATCCAAAGCGACTAAATGACCAATTACAGGGACATTCTCCCTGGAGTAACTAAGTGCCTTACTCAAGGGCGCACTAGTGGTGGTGTTCCTGGCGGGATTTGAACTCACAACCTTCCGATCTTCAGCCCACCTCACCATCCATTAGACCACCACTACCTTGCTAAAACATTTGTTGACATTATTGTCTTGTGGCTCCACAGCAACAGCGCCGCGAGCGCGAGATGAGGAGGCAGCAGGAGCGAGAGCAGCGCCGCCGCGAGCAGGAGGACAAGAGGCGTGTCGAGGAGATGGATCGTAGACGTAAAGAAGAGGAAGAGCGCCGGAGGGCTGACGACGAGAAGAGGAGGAATGATCGGGAACAGGTCAGTCTTATCATATTTGTACTTGTATTGTCCTATTTAATAGGGATAGTGGTGGTCTAATGGATAGTGAGGTGGGCTGAAGATCGGAAGGTTGTGAGTTCAAATCCCGCCAGGAACACCACCACTAGTGTGCCCTCGAGTAAGGCACTTAGTTACTCCAGGGAGGATGTCCCTGTAATCGGTCATTGTAAGTCGCTTTGGATAAAAGCGTCAGCTAAATGAAATGTAATGTAATGTAATGTAGGGGGTAGAATGAACTAGTCCTGGTGAAAGTGAGAATGTTCATCAAAGTTCTTGTGTATTCGGGAAGCTGATTGAGAGGATATATTGTTGCTACATTGAAGTACTCTCTCTCTCCATCTTTGCTCTGACAGGATTACATCAGGCGTCAGCTGGAGGAGGAGCAGAGACACCTGGAGATGCTGCAGGAGCAGCTGCTGCGGGAACAGGCCATGCTGCTGGTCAGTCACACACACACACACACACACACACACACACACACACACACAGCCTGGTGTAGTTATTTTAATATCTTTGGCTTTGTTGAGTCATCTTGTGATCGTGAAATTGGTAAATCATTTATTTGAATACGAAATGTTGTGTTTTTTTGTATTTTGCAAGTTGTCCGAATCAATTATTTGCCAAATGATTGGAACTCCGAACTCGTCCTCTCTATTTTATATAATGTATTCAGTTACAGTCTAGCGTTAAAAGTGAGTTCCCGGTGTTTAAAACAGACATCTGCAATAAAACAGGCTGCCAAAGCCTGACTGTATAAACGTGTTTTAAGGAAAGCATTTAACAGTTGGCACAGGTTTGTCCGGCCGACCGCAGCTCTCTTCTCACCCCCTTGCATCGACCCCACGCTCTGCAACAGGAGTTCAAGTGGCGGGAGCTGGAGGAGCAGCGCAAGGCCGAGCGTCTCCACCAGCGGCTGCAGCAGGAGCAGGCCTACCTGCTGTCGCTGCAGCACCAACCCAAACAGCCGCCCGGCGACAAGACCAAGCCTCCACAGACCTCCACCCTGCCCCCTGACAGAGCCCTCCCCTCACCCCCTCACGCTCAGGTCCTCGACGCTGCTGTTTCCGTAGCAAAAGGCTCCTATGAGTCCTCCAGAGAACTTGACACAATCCCCTCAGACAAATCCCAGAGCACCGACTCAGATGAGACTTGTCCAAACCAGCTCTCAAACCCCCCCACCCCCTATCAGACTGAACTCCCTGACTCTGAACCTCCCCAGGCAGAAAGTCTGGAGCCCGATAGGCCGGTCAGTCCTCCTCCTCAGCCAATCAGAGAGGTGAACCTCCTCCTCGGCTCTGCCTGCTCTTTCCAGCTTCTTCTTGCTTGTCTTCACACAGCCTCACTGACCACGATACAAGCAGCAGCAAATACTGGTTTCTTTTTGCACAAATAGTTGCATTTAATTGTCTTTTTTTAATGCTGTGGCGATAGTCCAGAGCAATTTGTTACAACATGGGTCCTCTCAGCCAGGCCCTTTGAATGAAACAATCGGGGGGGGGGGGGGATGGAGAATAGAAACCCACAGCAACCAGGCTTTTTGTGTCCTGAATAAAACGGAGCTGCTATCCTCCACCCTCTCTTGGCACTCGCACTGTTGCTAGTCTCCTTCACTACTAAAACCGTCTGGACGTCTGAATTTATACGTCTGAATTGTTAAGTGGAAATCTAAGCAGGATACCCCTCCAATATTATTATTACTTCCCACATGATTACAGATGTAGAATGTCCTGCTTACTTTCAGGCCTTTCATTGATTTGAGCTCCCATAATGATCCACTTTTCATCAGACGTCCTTTCCCCTGGGTGGGTTTCCTCCTCCTCAGAATAAGGAGGTTTCAGGAGTTCTCTTGGCCGACCTGTGAATCTCTTCTGACTCAGTGTGTGGGCCGTTGCATGATGGTGGCTGAGGCCCAGACTAACATGCAGGACCCCATCACCAGAGCTGTTCTGTGTCATTAACAACCATCTTTCCCTCCTTTTTACCCAACACAAGGATGTATTTGTTTGAAAGCGTCCTGTCTCCACCTCTACCTGTGTCTGTCCGGCTGCCTTGATTGGGCTTCAAGCATGTTTAACGTAATATCCACACAATGTTGCCGTTTGTCTGTGAAATAAGAACGTTTCTGAGTATGAGAAAGACTATGAAGGGACAGTAATGATAAACATTTGATGAAATATTTCCCCGGTTCCTTACCCTGTCCTGTTGGATTCCCTCAGGCAGACGAGAGGTACCGTAAGAACATTCAGGGCTCCCCTCAGGTCGCCCCCCCTCCCAAGCAGCCCCCTCTGCCTCCCCGATCCTCTGAACCTTTCTCCAACGGCGGCCCCTCCTCCTCCGAGGCCGTGGCCATGCAACGACCCATGGAGCCTCAGGTAACTCCTCCTCTCCTCGCCTCCTCCCTCACTCCTGGGTTTCTGTACTAGGTTTTTTGGTCAAGCAGCGAAGCAGCAAGGACAAGAAGGGTTTTAAAGTGAATATGGAGACCCTTATATCTTCCTTCTGTGCTGAAACAGTAGAAAAGAATCTGCACCTACACTTATATCGAACTATCCTTTAAGCATTTGCATCAATTTAAAGGGGACCTATCATGCAAAAGTGCATTTTGCATGATAGGTCCCCTTTAAATCCCAAACTATGAATCCCATCATCATGTCGTGTTGTGCTGTATGCATGTGTATTTACATATAAGCATGTTGGTGAAAATCCACACATCTCCCTTCATGTCTCACTGTGTTGTCTGCTTGTTCCACCTCCCCTTCCTCCTCCCTTCCTCCTCCCTCCTCCTCCCTCCATCAAAGGTCCAGTGGTCCCACCTGGCTGCGTTAAAAAGCAGCGTCAGCGCCGCCCCCTCTCCTCCTCTACCTCCTCCTCCTCCGCCCGTGGTCTCTCGCTCGCAGTCCTTCAGCGAGCCCGCCGGCGTGAACTCTAGCTTTGCACAACTCCAGCTGCGCTCCCAGGACCCCCAGCAGCAACCATCGCCCGCACGCACTGACCCCCAGCCCCAACCTCCCCTCCACCACCCTCAGGGTCTTAGTAAGGCCGAACCCCAGGTCAGCGGAGAGGAAGTTCCTCCCAAGGTAAGGAGCTGATGAGGGACCCCTTACCCCCCCCCCGTCCCTTTCCTGCCTTCCACCTCCATTCACCTCCTCTCATGATGTCTTGTGTGTTTGCCTTGATGTTTCTGCCTCATCTCAAACATCAGCTAGACATTTTCCATATTTGGGCGTATAAAGCATATTCAAAATCCGGTGTTAATTGAAGTTGAAGTTTTGATGGGGATTCGAGAGGTTCAGATTTCTCTAAATGCTCAGTTGTGGTTGATTTGATGTCTCTTGTCTCTCACTTGTTTTCTCATATGCCACTTCATGAGGATGTTTGAATGTGTTTGGTCCAGGTACCAGTAAGGACCACCTCCAGGTCTCCAGTGTTGTCGCGCCGAGAGTCCCCTCTGCCCCTGCAGCCCGGGAACGCGGCCGGACCGAGGGTCGCTGCAGGGTGAGCTGAGAGACCTCTGGATTTTGATAGCATTGTCTCATTTGGGTTAGTGTTAATGTGGTGTCGTTCCGTGTCAGCAGTGTGGAGCAGCGGCCTCTGTGGGACCGGGTGGAGAAGCTGCAGCCGCGACCCGGCAGCGGCAGCTCCTCCGGATCCTCCAACTCCAGCTCTCAGGCCAGCCCTGGGGACCGCTTCAGGCCACGCTGTGAGTCCCCTGGTACTGTACTTTCACTCCCTCTACTAACTGCCTATTAGCACATTATCATTATTACTATAATAACACCATTACCATTCTGTGCTCCCCGCTCCGGTACGCTTTTTCTATTCAGCCGATTTAAAGATGGCTTCAGAGCCAGCTCTCCCTGCCAAACTCTGTTTCCCCTCACTAACTCGACCTCCTTTTGTTCTCTCAAAGCTTCCTCCAAATCTGAAGGATCGCCTCTCCAGCGGCCTGAAAATGTTCCAAAAAAACAAGATGAAAAGAACCCGGCCAGGCCGACTCGACCAGCTGTAAGTCCTGTTTCTAAAGTGCCGGTTAAACTTGTTTGATGCTGAATAGGTGAAAACGGTTTTGTGTTTTTCTCTTATTTTCCACTCCTCTAATTATTCAACCACCTGGTGAATCCAATGGTTGTTGGGGAACCTCTTAGGGTGATGCGGTAAGCCAGTTAAATGAGATTACATAACCACACCTTTGCTATGCTTGCACCATCGCCCCTCTCATTGCATTATATGATAATGGCCTGTGATAAAAGAGCCTTTTGTCCTTTGTGAGGATGGATGGTTACGATCTTCCCTGCCTGTGATGTATTGCCTCCTGCTGGCGTCTTCCCTCTTGCCTGCACAGTTCCTTATCACTTTATTGCTTGTCCACACACGGCAGTAAACGAGTTAACCCTCTGCCGCAGCTTCCTGATTTGAATGCGGCCACATTTGAATGCAAACCCACTCCTCCTGTGTCCTTGCTCCTGCCAGAATTGCTCCTAATCTCACCTGGTTTGTTGTGCGATAAACTGTGTCACACTCTTTGTTGAGCATGCCTGGGAAGTGTCCCTCCTCCCTTTTCTCTCTCGCCCCTGACCTTACAAGATTCCATTATTACAAATCTGCAAGGAATAAGCAGAGGGCAACAAACCATTGACTTTAGAGGGTAGAAAACTAATGAATGAATAAGAAACAATTAAATTATGATCTGATGACATGATTTCCAAAACATAATAGGACTTAATTCTCGACTAACGGGGAGGAACAAGGTTTTAAGATGGGATGTTGGCCTATTTATGAAACATGCTGACTCGAGGACAGGTGTTTAGTTGGAGAGAAATGTACTGCCTGACCAAAATAGGTTTGCAAAATCACCTAAGACTGCAAAATGTTCTTCTATAAGTACCCAGAGACCTGAGACTGTAGGTATATTTAAGTTTAATAGAAAAAAGTTGGATATAAGTAACGAGGGATGACTTTAAAACGTCAGATTGTCTAGCTTTTTGATTTGTCTCTGCACACATTTTGAAATAGCAGGCTTTGCTTCTAGACAATCCAGAGTCTCTCCTAAGACGTCCTCACTGTTCCTCTCAGGATCTGACAGCTCTTGCCAAGGAGCTTCGAGCAGTGGACGACCCGAGGCCTCCCCACAAGGTCACCGACTATTCCTCCTCCAGCGAGGACTCGGGCACCACCGACGAAGAAGACGACGAGGAGGTGGACCAGGAGGCGGGAGAGGAGTCCACCTCAGGACCCGAGGACTCCAGGGCTGGGTGGGTGGAGCTGTGTTTGTGTGTCGACGTTATTACTACTGTCTGCTGCTTTCGTCTTTCATTGATTTCGTGTCACAACAATGAGATAGTCCAGATCATATTAAACGTATTGCTCATAGACCGTATGCATTGTCAGAACCCATGAGTGTTGCATGGCTGTGTTAACGCTGGTCTGGTTACGGACGTCAGATTTTCCCATGGCTTCCGCAGGAGGATGAGCAACGGGGAGACGGAGTCGGCTAAGACGATGCTGGTGGAGGACTCGGAGAACGAGAAAGGCTTGACGTCCTCCAAGGACGGCACGCTGGTCATCAGACAGGTAGGAGGAGCAGGAAATAGATTGAACATCAGGATAGATGGTTGATAGAAATGTCCTTTTTCTTTGTCCAGTTTCAGTGTTGTTTATCCGCTCATTCTCCACCATTACCTCCGTGTTCTTTTATATAACCTTTTCATGTTTGTATTCATCATACATTAAGAGCATTCTAATACCTTGATATAGATGACATTTTAGGTGACATACACAGCAAAGATGTAACTATTGTGAACGGGAGTAAATCATGACAGGAATTAGCATCTCCACCTGCTTGCTCGAGCCCAAAGTGTGCCTGTTCTTGCTTCCAGAGCACTGCTGACATTAAGCGGTTGGTCAATCTCTCCTCTTCCTCATCTTCCTCACCCTCGGCTGGCCCCGGTCACGTCCACGGCCAGCCCCAGACCCCCGGCCTCGCAGAGAAAAACGGCTTTGCCGGCCGCATTCACCACCTACCAGACCTTATCCAGCAGAGCCATCACTCCCCTTCCTCCACCACAACCATCCCTTCCTCCCCCTCCTCCTCCTCCTCTCCCTCCTTCCCCTCATCATCGAGCTATGCCAGTCCTGCCATGTCCCCACAGACCCCCCTGGACACGCTCACTGCCACAGAGGTATGTCGCCCTCGCATCAGCGGAGCAAACGGCCGAGGAGTGGGCGCTCGTGGTGCAGGCTTTGATATGTTCAGGAGGACTGGGTCATATTGACATGTTTTCACCTCAAACACCTCCATCTCCAAGCCTGCACACACCTGCCGGCCAGTCCTTGGTTGTTGTTGGGAGCCTCTCCAGCCTCCCCCCCCCTCCTGTTCCCTTCACTCTGGCTCTAATCTGCCCCCTTCTGGCTACATCCTTCTTCCCTCCTGCAGCGCTCTGCATGGCTCTGTCTGTGCTGCTGACTCCCCTGGTGGTAGAGCATGGTTACTGCACTAAACTGTGAACCACTAACAGTACATTAACCATTTTCTTAGCAGTGATGGCATGCCTGGTGTGATGGTAGTGGTGAGATGGGGCTTTATATTTGACTTGAACAAACGGCAAGCACACGCGACCTACTTGCAGAGCATTTACTGTTAACGCTTTATTTTAGATTAGCGCCTCTTCTGTGGTGTGACAACAACACTCTCTGTGCTTCAGTAGAGCAGCTCTCTCCTCTTAACACTTCACAGCAGCCCGAACATTTTCTCATTTCCCTCACAACACGTTTCTTCTTGTCGCACATGTTGTTGTTTTCCCCCTCTCTGACATTTCTGTCCTCGTTGGCTTCATAACAAATAACTGCACGCCATCTTTTTCACTTGATTTGTTGTTAACTTGAATTGCAGTGTTGGCTATGTAGTCCCAGTTGTTTGTGTCTGATTGAACACGGTTAGGCTGTTTTACGAGCCCCTAGAGGTGGAACTGTAACTCATGTGTGTAAAACTGAAAAGGCTCTTGTTATTGTAGTTAAATTCTACAGTTTTATAATTAACAAATCAATGTAACAATCATTTTTTGGATCAAATGTCTGATCTCTAACCAGCTGTTTCCTGCCTGGTTGTAAATTATTCCAGTTTCTCTACAATCATGAATTGCCAAACCGTTTCTAACTGTCCATAAATCTCTCTCAGTCCCAGTCAGAAAGCAACTCCATGTCCAAACACAAGTCTTCCTCTTCCTTCACTCCGTTCATCGACCCTCGTCTTCTCCAGATCTCTCCATCCAGCGGCAGCTCCCTCAACAACATTGGTACGTCAACAATAAGAGAATCTGTTAAATACATGAAAATGTGTTGAATCAGTTTCCATTCAGGGAGTAAGGTAAATCAACTGAGTGAAGTGAAACCAACAGATAACAGCGGCATGCGTTTAAACCAAGCACCAGGTTGTTCATTAATATTTGAATACACAACGGCATCCAGCCTGACCTCCGTGTGCCCCCTCCAGCAGCATTTGGGCCCGATGGACGCCTGGCAGACCCGCTGAAGGCCGACCCGTCCCGTAAAGGCTCCGTTGTCAACGTCAACCCGGTCAACACGCGCCCGCCCAGCGACACGCCGGAGATCCGCAAGTACAAGAAGAGGTTCAACTCTGAGATCCTGTGTGCTGCTCTCTGGGGTGAGTGCAGGGTTTATAAACATGCATACAGCCACTGTCAGGGAATCGGAAACGCCTCCGTAGGGCCATGGCATTTTAAATCTCACTATTATACGCTTGTCTGTCCGTGTTCCAGGAGTGAACCTGCTGGTGGGGACAGAGAGCGGTTTGATGCTGCTGGACCGGAGCGGACAGGGGAAGGTCTACCCTCTGATCAACAGGAGACGCATCCAGCAGATGGACGTCCTGGAGGGACTCAATGTCCTGGTCACTATATCAGGTACAGTGCAGGTGCTGTCTGAACACTAATCCATATTTCTTTGCCTACATTGCAGTGGAAACAATATGTCTTTCTCTCAATCAAACTCCACTTCCTGCAGGTAAAAAGAACAAGCTGAGAGTGTACTACCTGTCGTGGCTGAGGAACAAGATTTTGCACAACGACCCCGAGGTGGAGAAGAAGCAGGGCTGGGTGAATGTGGGCGAGCTGGAGGGCTGCGTCCACTACAAAGTCGGTAAGTCTGTTCCTGAAGGGGGTAAAGTTGACCAGGATTTGCACCAAAAAAAAAACTATAACTCACAAATGACTTCTTTTTGTCTGCAGTGAAGTATGAGAGGATTAAGTTCTTGGTGCTGGCTCTGAAGAACGCTGTGGAGGTGTACGCCTGGGCCCCCAAACCCTACCACAAGTTCATGGCGTTTAAGGTAAGCATTGCTCTTCTGCAGGCATCATTCAGCCAAAGAAGTTGACCTGACTAACCTTATTTTCTTTAGTCTTTTGGTGATCTGGTGCACAAGCCTCTGCTGGTGGACCTGACTGTGGAGGAAGGTCAGAGGTTAAAGGTCATCTACGGCTCCTGTTCAGGCTTCCATGCTGTGGATGTGGACTCTGGTGCCGTCTACGACATCTACCTGCCCACACACGTAGGCTCCGAGCACAGTCTGACCATCGCGTGTTTTTAAATCGCTCTCTACATACCTAACCCTTTCCTCCTTTTCCCCCTCCAGATCCAGACCAGCATTCAGTGCCATGCCATCATCATCCTGCCCAACACGGACGGCATCGAGCTGCTGGTGTGCTACGAGGACGAGGGCGTCTACGTCAACACCTACGGCCGCATCACCAAGGACGTGGTGCTGCAGTGGGGAGAAATGCCAACTTCAGTGGGTGAGTGGGGCCAAAAAAAAGGGATCTTAAATACATTATTCTTCATTTCTAGTTTGATGTCCTTGTTCAAGCACATGTATTTCCAACTCCACTTCCCTGTGTTCTCTCACAGCCTACATTAGGTCAAACCAGATCATGGGCTGGGGTGAGAAGGCCATAGAGATCCGCTCCGTGGAGACGGGTCACCTGGACGGCGTCTTCATGCACAAGAGAGCCCAGAGACTCAAGTTCCTGTGTGAGAGGAACGACAAGGTGAGGACACACAGCTATCCCATCCTCACTGCCCGCTGTTTCTCTAAAGCAGGGGTGTCAAACTCAAGGCCCGGGGGCCAAATCCGGCCCGCGACTTCATTTTATGTGGCCCCACAAGAGCTTGCAAAGAATATAATATGTTTATTATACGGTTACATGCTACTTTACAGAAGCACGTTGCCCATAAACTACATGTCCCACAATGCATCTCAAATTTGACTTTTTTTCTCAGAATTTGACATTTCTTCAAAATATGCACTTTTTCTCAGAATTTGATTTTTTTACTTCAAAATTTGACTTTTTATTTCAAAATGTCACTTATTTTTTTTTATTTTTTTTAGAATTTGGCTTTTCTTTTTAAATCATTTTGTCAAATGCTCACTGAAGAGACTTGCAATTATTTGCCCTATAGACTTCTGCTTTCAGACGTAGTGAAGTTATTACCCTATCAGATAATAATCCAATGCAGAGGCAATAATGTCATATAATACATCATTTTATATTAAATATTTATATATGTATTTTTATATAGTCTTAAAGTTACAGCCGGCCCTTTGAGTGCAACCATAATGCTGATGTGGCCCGCGATGAAATTGAGTTTGACACCCCTGCTCTAAAGGTTCAGACTATCTTAACAGATGTTCTCTTTGTCGCAGGTCTTCTTTGCCTCCGTGCGCACTGGAGGTGCCAGCCAGGTGTATTTCATGACCCTGGGTCGCTCCTCCCTCATGAGCTGGTAGTCGATATTTCCAGCATGACGACCACAGCTAGGCAGTGACAAACAGATGACGATTGTGACCATGACCAACGACGACGAAGAAGAAGAGAACCGCCTCGACGGAGGGAACAGCTTCCTCTCGCTCGCTCGGGCAAACAAACCAACGGATTGGACTGTAATCATGACAAGACGCTAGGGACGGGTGTGTGTGTTTTGAGGGCGTTTTCTGTTAGTTTAACTATATGACACCTACAGAAACCCCCACGAGCCACCAGGTTACCCCTCGCCCTCCCTTTGAGCCGATCCCCTCCCCCTCGTCCCCCTGCAGGGCGTGGGATCTGTTGCCTGTTGATGGTAAATCTTTATGTGTCATAGTAAAACTTTGCATCGTGTACGTGTGTGAATGGAGGAAACACTGAGCATGAGAATGACTGAAGGGACGATGAGCGCGGCCGTTACTGTATCGAAGATTCTTTCTGCGCCGTTAGTAGCTGTGTTTAGTCCTGGTTCTGTTCAGGTGAAACTACTCCCACCACCACGGTAGATTTCCACGTCAAGCATGTCATTTCACTTCACAGCCACATTAATAACGCTTGACCTGTAAATCTGCCTCTGGATCTTCACTTTTTTTGCCTTCTCTTCCTTAAAGTGAAGATTTTTTTAAGGGACCTTCTTGATATATCCATTAAATACAGGGTACTGGATATCAGCGTGTACATACTAACTACATCCACCTTGTAGTCTTCAGACTCTCCCAGGTTTTACAGACACTATCTCGACTTTTACCACATTGCCTCAGTAGGTTATGTTGGACAGAAAAACAGAAGTAGCCCTGTTTATGACGGCATGTTGCGTTGGTGTTAAATTAGCTCCAGTTTTTCATACACTGTATATTTTGTATGTGGCTCGCTGCACATAAATAAAGCGTGAGAATCAAGACACACCCATAGGTGAGTTTTAAAGGAGAAACCCACCAGCTCAACTGGAAGAAAACGCAACCAAAAACCACAAATGGACCCAGAAATATGAGGTGGATTTTCCCTTTAACATCAGTCATAAGTAGGGCTAGGATAAACTGTGAATTAGACATGCAGATTAAGCAAGTGGCCATTAAGGTAGCATGGAGGCCAGTGGGCGGCCAGTGGGCAGAAGTGACGCTAAGGGAATGAAGGCATTCGACCTCGAGGGCTGAGAAGAAGATTTTGAATATCACACTCTACAAAAAATAGAGGGAGGAAATCAGGATCAGCTGATTGTCCTCCATCTGCACGACGTTTGAATTTCACAAAACTGTATTTTAAAGGAGACTTTGGCTTAATGTTCAGGATCTCCAGCTGAGTAAAACTCCTCCGCCGCTTTTGACAAGTTAAATAAAGAGGTTTGGATTTTATGTACTGTAGAAACACTTTCATGTGATTAAATATTGGACCTCTTTTTGCCATTTTAGGCTTCAGACAGGAGAGTCCAACACTTTAACTGGATCATTACTGTTTCCCAGAATTGAATAACCTTCATTTGACCTTCTCATCCTCTTAAAAACAAGGAACGACTTGTGTGTCACTTCCTGTTCAAATATAGAATCCATCCTGCAAGCTGTGTGTATGTATGAATGAGAAAACTATATAACGAGACTCATGGACCCCCTTTCTTCACCCACTTTTTGACCCCGCTCTCAGTAAAGGTGGTGCCTTCACTGTCCAAGGTGGGACGTGCTGAGAGCTGCAGAACATGAGATGCTTTCACTGTCCCCATCCTCTTGTGAAAAAGCAAACGAAAGTCACGTTCTAATAGCAGTGTTACAAAACCACTTCAGGCGGCGTGAACTAAGCGGCATATTTTTAACTCTGACTTAGTTTTTAGTCTTGTTTCTGCAATTTTTATTATGTAACCCTTCAGATAAGTATGCGACTGCAGTGGTTTTTAAATTGTAATGCACACCTTATGTTGAAAATGTTTACAGAAGCAATTGTTTTGTTAAACCAATGTGCATCGATATGAATATTTATGGTTTATTTTGAGGGCCGTTTCTCCCTGTTTTGTATTTTGTATTATTCCCTTTTTGTACTATCATTTAGACGTTTGTGTACAGGAATGATCAACTACTCGCTCACCTTCTGGATTACACAAATCTGAAGTGGGATTTCACTGATTATTTTACACCGTGCACAGTGGGCCCCTGGCTGTGTGGCAGCGTGGATCAAATGTTTTCTACCACCCAGGTGCCAGGTGACATGTGTGTGTCCCCCCCTTCAAACGTCTCTGCCATGCCTCTCTAATTTATGTCCTCTCTGTGTGTACTATGGGAATTACTGTATTTTCCTGAAGGTCTTTTTTTTCCATTGAATAAAATCAGAAGTAATTTACAGTGTGGTGTCGTTCTTTAAATAAAAAAAACACAATTACAAGTAAAAGTCCTGTGTTAAAATGAAAGATGTAACTAGTAGTGTTGCGACCCCTCCCTCTGCTCTGTGTGTCAGTCAGGGAGGGTCGTTAGTCAAAGTGGGGACACCTGTGAGAGTCTCCACAGAGGTTACAATACAGGCCTCAACGTCTCTGTTCTGTTCCAGGAGCAGCTCGGTTCGTCACTTGCTGCTACACACAAGCACACACACCTTATATTCACCCTTACCTTGATCCCTTTAACTCTAATGTATGCCTGTGTTTTTTGTATTATTATTCCTTTTGACTTTGGGGTTAAATAAGTAAATCGTTTGTTCTGCATTTGAAGTTAGAATGTGTGAACTACTTAACTAAAGCTTTCAGTCATGCACAAAAGTAAAAACCTTATTTGATTCTTTTTCTAGTGTAGTGTAAAGTGGTTCAAAGTCGATTTAACCTATTTCTTAGCATGTCAATATTATCCTTCTATAAAACAACTTCGAGTGTAAAGGTAGAGTTAAAACATATGAAAGCTCCTATTAACACTGCATTATCAAAATTGGTCCTGAAAATATTTTGAATTAAATATTTAAAAGCGACTTAATGCAAGGAAAAACTGTCTATTTAAATGTAAGTACCGTATTTGACCAGCAGAGGGCGCCATTGTGCAGCCCATTAATATTGCTTCCTAATTTCTTGCCACATCAGTAAAGTTAGCCTTCATACTCCACTATATAGTTTCCTCTTTTTGCCAAACTATTATCCTAAAGTCTTTAAGAGACATGATCCATTTACAAATAAGAAATTATTTGCAGGAGGATTTAAGATTACAGTGAATATAGCAACCGGAAGCAGGTAAGAGTATTTGTATTTACCTTGATGCATTTACATAGAAATGTAAATTATTGTGTTTGTAATAATGGTTACTTTTGTTAAAATAACTCAATGATTGCGAAGTATATCGTTATTATAATGAAATAGTATAATATAATGATCTTTTTTAATCCCAAGATTCATTGTTGTGACCTTTTTGTTTCCTTATAGATGAACTTCCTATCTAATGAATCATAGGTAAGATGTATTGGGAATTTAATAAACATTACAAGACAAGTTATATCTCCATTTCCATGCTCCAAAAACTAAGCATGCATTGGCTTTTATTCTGAGAATCCCTCAGAGCGGAAGTGGCCTGTCTCCCAGCAGCTTGACGCGGGTTGGCTGGGTCACGCTGCAGCCAGCCGGATGTTTTGCGTCGCCAGTATGTGACGGGAACATTTGCTCATTTCACCGAAGAAGATAATCCTGCGGCTCCAGGGCGGCTCTGGTCAGGTGAGTAGCCGACCACAGTGTTGGTTTATATGCCTGGTTTGCTCCAGGACCTGTGGGAAGGTGTGGGTGAAAGCTGCAGAGAGGTCGTGACGGTGTGGTTTGCAGTGACCGTGCACGCTACTTGCGCGCTCCCAAACACCCACCATGTAGTTTCTGTTGCTTGTAAAGCCCTTCAACAGGCGGATGCATGCTGTTGTTTATCACCTGGTTGACTCCTAATGCAGGGTTTAAAAGAGAGTAATGAGCCAACACAAGCTTCCACTAGTTCTGATGCATGAATCTGTCACCTCCCCACCTAGTGTTCATCTGTATGTGTCTGTGTCTTTGTTGCAATCAACAGTGATTGGCAGGAGGAGGTGATGTGAGCATGCACAAGCCCCAGCAGCTGTTTTATTTTACTACATGTACCCTTTAACTTCAGTACATCCCCCACTGATTGCAAGTACTCAAATATTGTACTTTAAAGTAGCAGTACCATTGTAGGAATACTATGTTACAAGTAAAAGTCCTGCGATCAAAATGTTACAAAAGTATTGGCATCAAAATATACTTAAAGTACCAACATTAAAAGTAGTTTTTATTATAATTGTTGATCAGTAAAGTGTTCTCAAAGCTGGTAAAGGTGCAGCTAGTTTTAATGAATTTGTATACTGTAGGGTAGCTTGTGAATTTACTTACTTTAAAATCATTAATCACATTATTAAATAAATGGTTTTCTAAGTTCACACTCTTAATTTGATCAGGCCCTTTGCCTCTCTTGCTTTCCCCGAAACACAGACATGGTGATCTTTGCCATGATATCCTAACTTAATCCATACTGATTTGATGTGTATTCAGTGGTTTGTAAAGGGGGTCAGAGGACAGGTCAGAGGGGACAGGGGGGTCTCCTGCTGCTGTTAGAACCATGCAGGGTCAGATTATGCATGCAACTCATTTATGGTATTTGTTTAAACCTGCCACATGGTTTCAATACTTACAAACCTACACGTATTCATCTGCAACTCCTTTGCTGTTATCATTTGTAAGGTAAAATAGACCAACATTCCCTGGTCCAGCCAAGTGTTGTAATGTTTGTTGGTGAATTAAAGAGAGGGTAAACTTACCATGTTTGTGTTAGACAATTACAATAGTCAGTTTTAAGAACTTATTACTGATCATATTTCAGTTTTCCAGTGTGTTAAGGATCAGAATAACAAACCGAGAGCAGACGGTGCAAACATGTTCTCTCCTCTCATTGCTCTGCTGTTGAACTGTGCAGCTTACATTAGTTTTGTGTGCACTCAGTGTCATCTGTCTGAAAAACGATCACGCTGCTGCTGCTGCAGTTGTTGGAGCAGCTCACACACCTGTTTGTTTGGACAGATGGTGCACAGAGCGCTCCTCTGTCTGTGTGTGTGTGTGTGTGTGTGTGTGTGTGTGTGTGTGCGGATACTGTGCAGCGGGTCAGCTGCTGTTTCCTCTCATCGCCCTTATCTCACTGGACAAGCCGACCCAGAACACACTCTTATTTAATCAGGCAGTTGCTTTCCTGTTGAGCCACTAAGCTGCATTTTATTTGCCACGTCGACAGAGAACACACTGACACCACAGACTGCTTTTTTGCTTTAGATGAATAACTATTTAGATGCCAAGATAAATAATGTGTGCCTTATCTTGCTGAAGTAATATCTGCTCTCGTGTAAAAACTAAGGAGCTGGATCATACTGCAACTATTTTGATAATGACTTTTCACTTTTTTCTGCCTTATATGATAGAAAACTGCATCTCCTTGGGCTGTGGGACATTTGTTCATCCAAAATAACAAATGGAAATATTCCAGAAGGGCTCTTGAGAGCGCAGGCCTCGCCCAAGGCTGAAAATACCAGTGTTTATCTGCAATGTGATTCAGATACACTCCAAAAATTAAATGGGTTCTTTAATCATCCATGCTCCGCCCTCCCCCCCAGAAAATCTGGCCAGTACTTTTTACATAATCACACAGAAATCATAACCTCCTTGTCGGTGGTATAATTAAGCTTGTGAAATTGGCTGTGGGTGGAACAAAGATCAGCATTTATTTACAGGTTTGTTCAGACCCTATGATCCCTTTCGCTGATTGCACCGATAGAGAAACATTTGTTTGCATTTATGAATTAATACGACCCAAACTCTCCACGTCCATTTGCTCAGACTTCACCTGTAAGCAGCTCAGCATGTAGGCTTCTACATATTCTTCTTTGCCGTGCTGGGTGCATTTTATTTAACTTCCTCCTTTTCGTCCCTATCCGTCGTATCTTGAGTGCCACATTGCTGCATATTGGGTGCACGCTCTGGTTAGTACAATTTAGTAGAGTGTTGCAAAGTGTCCCACAAAAGTAGTTCAGTATAACAATGTTTTTATATTTTCCCATCCAGTTTTTTTTTGTAAGGACACTCCTGCAAATAAATGTCTGTCTCAATAATGTTAGGGACAGATGCCTCTTTCTCTGTTTTATATCACATAAATATATTTAGGTTTAGACTGACAATACAAGCCATTTAAAGCCAGCACTTTGAACTTTCAGAAAACAGGATGGACAATTTCATTTATGTGTGACATTGTATGGACTTATTGACTAATCGGCAGAAGGATTGATGATGACAGTACTTGGCACATGGGCCCATAATCCCATGAAAGACAGAGGCAGAGATTTGTGTTTCCGAGTCATCTGCCCTAAGTGTGCTGCAACAAAGAGGACCAGGTCCCCTCCTCATACTCATTGGGACATAACACTTTTTGATGTCCCTCGCCCCCCCCCAACACTTGTCCCTTTTCCCTTTCAGACCGGCCACACTCTCCTCTTTCCTCCTGCACTCTCTTAGTCTGTCAGCCAGCCTTGGTCTTTTCTCCCCCTTTTGAACCCCCCATCCCGGGACAAAGAGTGGAGAGTGACTGCTCTGTAGCCAGGTGTTCTCCAGTGCTGCCCCCGGGCCCTAATAGCCCCGGCCTTCACCCTGCAGCTGCCCTCCCCAGCCTCCCATTGTGTGGCTCTATTGTTCCTCCGCCCTGCCCTCGTTGATTCCTCGGCCACACAGGGGAAGCCCTTTTCAGGCCGAGGAGGGGAGTGTGTGTGCCGGTGAACGTTGACTACGCGTGCCTTGGGGAAACTGTGTGTTGTAGGCATTTGCCCAAAGCCACTCCCCTCTTCCTCCCCCCCCGCCTCTGCACCTCATTGTAAGGCCGCTGCGCTCTGATTGGTGGAAAATCAGCCACTCTAAATGAGGGAATGGCAGACATTGTTGCTCCATCTGTTCTGCCACTCATTGTCCAACTTGCCTGCTTCTGTGAAAGGAAAAAAACAAGGCAGCGCTGGGAGGCTCAGACAGGAGGACAGAGGTGCTCTGGATGTAGCTTCTGCAGGAACTTTAGGACTTTCACCTGCAGTGTTTACCAAAATCTGGTTCTCCAAGGACTTAAATGTGTGGAAATGAGCTGAAAAACGTCCCTTTCTTCTGTGTTTGTTAATCTTTGAAGCTCTGGTAAGTGTTTTGCTTTTAACCTCACTCTCATTCTGAAATTGTACCTTTTTTATATTTACATTTTGGCTGTTCTGATCTGTTTTATAAAAGAAATGAGACTCTTACCCTCCCTGTCACCTCACTGGGGCTATCGAGGTGATGAAATGCAATGCCTGCATTACAGGTTACCTAAAATACCAGATTTTAGGGAATTTAAAATATGCCAGTCGCGTTAATTGCACGTTGTTGAGTTCCGAATTAAGAAAAGGTGCAGTCCAGCTTGTCTGTGTTGATGGTGTTGGATGTGAAGTATTTCAGATAAAACAAGTTTGAAAGCATTATAAATGTTTAATGTGCAGCCCAAAGTCATAGGAGTTTTAGCACAGGATAACACCTGCCTAACTTCTATCTGCAGTCGCTTGAATTTCCAACAGTGGGATCTTTGTTGATATGAGACATTGACGGGAAGGGGGCTGGTTTTTTTGGTTTAAAAAGCTCTTATGTGGGTCACATGTGGCTGGAGGAAGCAAATAGTGCGGTAGCTAGAGATGTTATCCTCGGAAATGTGTGTGTGTGCTACTTTCAGATTTGATGTGTGTATGTGTGTGTGTGTGTGTCAAAGACAGTCTGTCCTGCTGAGTCTTTATCCTCGCTCTATTGGCTGTGTGGAGACAGGGGGGTGTGTGTGTGTCAAGGGGAGACACCAGTTGCGCTCGGCAGACATCTGTTACCCTGCTGCAGGCGAGGATAGCCTAGCGCGCCATCTAGATGCACACACACACACACACACACACACACACACACACACACACACACACACACTCGGCTGATTATCCTAGGACCGCCCCCTTTGTTACAATAACTTTTTCACAGTATCAGACATGCAGCGGTATATTGCCAGACAACCCCCGAACTCCCCCCTCCGCCCTTTAAACCCCAAACCCTTTGCCCCCTCTCTCACCCCCTGCACACACACACTTCTTTTTTTGACACAAAGCTCCCACATACAAAGCGCTGTAAGGACTGTGTTACATATTCATTACTGCCTCCATCAAAGCCTCGGTGCTGCTGTGTGTGGGATGTTTGAAAGATGCTCCCCCTGAGATGGAGAGGTGGCTCTGCCGTTGGTCCGCTAACTCTAAGCCTCATTTGGGAATTCCTCAATTCACTACATGCATTATTCTGCAGAGCTCGGACCACACCAGAAGACTTTTTAAATCCAAAGTCTCCAAAGTCTCCAATCCAAAGACATTTAATTAGATGACACATTTAGTGACGAGCACACGGTTCATATTTTGCCGTTAAGAGGCGAAAACAACAGGATTATGATCAGATTTGTGAAAACAAAATCAAATGAGGTTAATGTGATGCAGCAGATAACCTGCCATATGTTTCACAGATCAGGCTGTTTAGGTGAATATCAGATAATCTGTCCACTTGTAATGGGCATATTTACACCCTTGTTTTACACAGTATTCATTAATCGGACAGCAAATTAAATGAAGACATAGATAAAATGCGTGATAATCTGTGTTGCTTAAATCTAACACTTTGAAAACCAAAAGTATTTGCATAGTTGTGAACAGATCCCAGTTTAACGATGTTTTCATGTCATTTGCTTCCTACACAAAATGTCATTTACGAGTAGTTTTCTGTCACAAACAGCTCCTTGGATAGACTTTCAATAGCCATATCATTGCTCCTGTTGGTCATTGGTGTATTATTGACGTAGTTTTGACGTGCTGCTCTTGCTTGATGATGATGAGCTTTAGAAAAATGTAAATGGATGCATTGGAATAGTTTGGATGCATCAGCTTTAGTCCATTAACAGAGTACAGTGTGCATGAACGCACCCAATAGCCCCACTCTCGCATTATGAGTCACATTGTGAGGTGTGTGTTTGTGTGTGTGCACAGGCACCATCAACATTAGCTGATGCCAAGGTCCCCGTCCTAATCACTCCTGCAGGTCTATTGTTGTCCCGGTTTGGGGTTGCCAGTGAGGCACACTTAAGCCCCTCCCTCCCCCACACTGGATCTTTTTGTTTGTGTGTGTGGTAGTAGGCGGGTCACCGACTGAACGCCGCAGCCTCTGTCTTGGCATTTGGAAAGGGGGAGAATGCTTTCAACAGCTGTAGCTTAGCAACAGTAGCTGAGACGAGTTGCTAGGCAGCGCTTTTTCATAAAATGCAAACTCACTCCACCCAGCCCCCCCCCCCCCTACCCCCCAACCACCGTCTCCAAGTCACTTCCCCTTCCATCATCTGTTTTGTCCTGGGTTTCATTGGGTTGAATCCCAACAGGATATATCATTTATGCAATTTCTAACTGACCATTTGCATTATCAGTCAACATTTACATCCCAAAAGCTAATTTTCGGGGGAAATACTGCAGATACTTCAACTAGATTTCCTCTACTTAAGTAAACATAATAAAACCACACTGTTGTAATAAACTGTTACTAGCAAAAGTCCTGTATTCAATTAAGCAAATAGGACTTGTTATTACCATCCTTTCTTGTGATTGGCCCTTACCTGATCCACTGTGATCACACTGTGAGTGGATGTAGGGTTAAAACACGTCCCTGTACAATAAGTAAAAGTATTTAATAGCCTCAAGATGTATTTAAAGTAGGCTTACAACAAGTATACAACTGCACACTTCAGAGTAATATTTGCAGTTATTAATGTGTTCATCTCTTAAACGTCTCAGCTGGTAAATAAAGCTTATGTTTTACTACAAACACTGGCAGATATTTTTTGAATTTCACCAAGGGATTAAAAAAATGTGCCTTAGCCTTAAGTAATACATGAGTATGTGTTCATTGTATTTTGTATAATTAATCCGAATCTTTAAAGAAACTAAAGCTGTCGGAAGACTGTACTGTACTTCCTAGTCCACTATATTTATCTGAGAGATAATGGAACAGAAGTATACAGCAGCAAGAAATAGAAAATACTCTTAAAGTACAAATAAATAACAAATACCTCAAAGTATGTATAGTTACTTTCCTATACTGGAGGTAACATATCAGTGTCCTGATCTCAGATTAACTTTCCAAAGTGCTCCCTGTAATTCGTCTGCAGATAAACCTGTGACACCAATCAGATTACCCTAACCACATGTAATGTCCGCGGTGCTAGAATGCTGCGTGTTGATTGGCTCGGTGGCCTCGGAGCCCCTCGGTGTTTTAATGAGTGACTCCACCACCCCAGTGGGAAGAAGCATATGGACCTTAATTACCAGGTAGAATGTGGGGGGAGGGGAGGGGAGGGTCTGTCGTCCCTAGCGCTAACGTCTTTTTTTGCAACAGTTCACCCTCTGTTCCCCCCCCCCCCCGATTAATGTGCTGTGGCGTGGCTCTGTTGTAGCACGCTGGGGCCAGACTTTACAAATGCGGGAGTCCCTTAGGGTGCGGGGGCCCCCCCATTGTGTCAGCCAGCTGAGTCCCCAACTGCTCAGAGACGGTGTTTAGGCAAAATGTTTCAGAGAAATAAACATGAAAAGTCAGATTTTGCTAAAAAAATAGCATCAGTGTTGATTCTCATTATAATTCCAGTGCATTTAATTAAAAAAGCAAATATCCAGACTCTGCCTTTCATGGTTTTATCATTATGAAAATATATTTTGTCCACTGGTGGGACTTCTTCTTTTTAGAAATATGTATTTGATTCTCCTTTTTTAAGTTGAGGTTTATCAGTAGTGGGTTTCCACCTCTCTCAGTTTGTGCATCACTTTAGGGCTAAGAACAGTGTAGATAATGTAACACTAAGTAATTCTAAAGTAATACAACATGTTATTTAGGAGAACATTTCCTAAATATATCTCACTCATCCTGTCTGTGTTTTCTGCAGGCACCAATGACTCGATCTTTGTGAGAGGGCAGCAGTGGGCCCGCGGTGCTGGATGTCTGTGACGGTTCCATGGGCCAGAAGGACCATGAGGAGGCAGGAGCGGGACTCATCCTGGACCTGGGGCTGGATCTGGAGTACCTCCACGTAGCAGGGGCCGAGCGGCAGGCTGGCTGCTCTGACGGGCCCCCTGCCATGGAGGAGCAGGGGGAGAGCCCCGGCAGCTGTGGCCCCACCAACGACCCGGAGGAAAATGGAGGGTCGGATGCCGAGTGCGAGCCGGCGCCTTCTCCCAGCGACCCAGACGGAGGCTTGACTCTCGGTAAGAACACGCACCAGCCGCTCTGTCGGACCCAGTGTGTGGACTTGGGCACCGACGGCCCTCCTGAGCTCCCATCAGAAGTTGAAGATGACACCCCAGCCCAGCCTTCACCCAGCTCCCCCTGTACGCTCCCCCCACCTGAGCCTCCGTGCACCGCCTCCTCATCAGAGCCGGCCCTCGAGGGCGGAGGAAAGGAGTACCAGGCCAAGCTGGAGTTCGCCCTGAAGCTGGGATACTCGGAGGAGACGGTGCGCCTGGTGCTGTCCAAGCTCGGCCCCGACACCCTCATCAACGACATCCTGGGAGAGCTGGTCAAACTGGGCACCAAGTCAGAGGCAGAGCAGCCGGTCGGATCATTAGCCTCTACCTCCTCCTCATCCTCCTCTTCCTCTTGTGGCTGTTCTGATCTGCTGGAGAGCCAGAGGTCGGACTCGCCCTGTCCGTCAGATTCTCTGGGCGACCAGGACAACCTGCGGCCCGTTGTGCTGGACGGCAGTAATGTAGCCATGAGGTGAGCAGGCAATGGAAACATTGTAATGCATGTCTGTTCAGTGTGTTTAAATCCTGCACAGTTACAGATAACTGCAACAAAACTATTAGAATTAAAATATTTGTATAATTAGATTCCAGTTGCATAGTATTGTTCCTGAGTCATGTGATCCAAACATCTATTGAAAAATGTTAAACGTACATTTGAAAGACATCTAACAAAATATTCCGGTTTAATCCATATTTGTTGGTGTTCAGGTTTTCAAAACATCATCTTCACTGGGTTTAAATTCATTCAAGTAATTTAATTAAAAAAGGACCTTCCTTAGACCCCTAATTCAAGCGTTGTAAAATATCCTTTAGTGATCCAACACAGCCGACTTCAACATCACAGCATTACCTACGTCTCCATTGCATTCATCTGCATTCTCACTCTTTATTATGTCCTACAGCCATGGCAACAAGGAAGTGTTTTCCTGCCAAGGCATCCAGCTGGCGGTTGATTGGTTCCTCGAACGTGGCCATCATGACATCACAGTGTTTGTGCCAGCGTGGAGGAAAGAGCAGTCCCGCCCCGACGCCCCAATAACAGGTCGGTGCAAGAGGCTGATCGATAGACACACACACACACACTGCAGTCGATACGGTGTGAGTATTTGTCTCATAACTCCCTCCATCCACAGATCAGGAGACCCTGCGTCGCCTGGAAAAGGAGAAGATCCTGGTCTTCACTCCTTCTCGGCGCGTCCAAGGTCGGCGCGTGGTTTGCTATGACGACCGCTTCATCGTCAAGCTGGCCTATGAGTCAGACGGCATCATCGTCTCCAATGACAACTACCGAGACCTGGCTAATGAGAAGCCGGAGTGGAAGAAGTTCATCGATGAGCGGCTGCTCATGTACTCCTTTGTCAATGACAAGTAAGTGGAGGTGGATTAGTGAGGGGCTGATTGTGATAGAAATGAATTAATTGGTGTCATAAGAATTGAGGCATTTATAGTTTTTAAACTTTCATATCTCATTCCCTTTCATCACTCGATCACATTTGACATTTAGTTTGACAAGACAGCTGACGTTTTCAAAGGAGAATCACAGCTTATTTGATGCGCGCTAACTGCTTATTTCACTGAGAGATGCACCCAGTGTATCTAATCCTGCCCTCCCTCCTCTCAGATTCATGCCCCCAGATGACCCTCTTGGTCGTCACGGCCCCAGTTTAGACAACTTCCTGCGAAAAAGACCTGTCATGCCTGAGCAGAAGAAACAGCCTTGCCCCTACGGTGAGAACACAGAGCATAAGAGTGACCTTAACTCAGAACACATATATAGACTTATCTTGCGTAATGTTCATTGTGATTTTGTATATATTTCCTTTTAAATAATCTTTCCTTTTGTCCCCAGGAAAGAAGTGCACTTACGGCCACAAATGTAAGTACTACCACCCAGAGAGAGGTGCTCAGCCTCAGCGTGCCGTAGCTGATGAGCTGCGTGCCATTGCCAAATCTTGTGTCACCACAAAAAACCAGGGGGACACTGGGTTGGTTAAGAGCCACAGTGTGCCAGCTGGCAGCCTTGATGCTAAAAAAGGCGCCCAGAAAAGGCAGTCAGACCCTAGCATCCGAGCCCTGTCGTACAGCGACGCGGAGGAGAAGTTGGCCAGAGGGAGGGCGGAAAGCCAGAAGAGCAGTATGTGTGGCAGTAGCAGTGGGAGTGTAACCATGTCTACGGCTCCCGGGGGCCCTCCGTCCTGTTTTAGCCTTCCCCAGGAGCAGCAGTCCAGATCTGTGACTCCTCATAGTCTCCCAGCCCCGAGCCACGACCTTTACCCTCACTGTGAGTCTCCAGACTTGAGCTACTACTCTGTGACTCGCGCTTACTCCGGCCTGAGCCTCTCCTCCAGACGCAGCCCTGACTGTCGCTTCCCCGCCGACTCAGACCTGCGTCTGGGCTCCATGGGCTCCGCTGGCTCTGAATGCGGCAGTGAAAGTAGCGTGAGTTGCGGCAGCAGCTGCGACTCGTACAGCGAGAGGCCGTGTCCTGCCTGCCCCGCAGACACATTAATGGAAGACAACGTCCATTTTGCTAACCCTCACAGCAGATTGTATCCCCATCATGCCGCGTCAAACCACGAGCTGTGCGGCCTTCATCCTGCAGATTACGCCAACATCCAGCACGGCTACCACCTGACCCGCGGGCAGAGCTGTGCTCACGACCAGCCCCCCCCCGAGGCTCCCCCAAAGCGCCCCCTCTACCCGCTGCCTCCTCACCTCCAGCACCAGCAGCTGACCGCTCGCTCCAGCTGCCCGGGCGACTACCACTCTCTGCCCCAGTCCAGCCCTCACCCCCCCGGCTCTCCTCTCGGACGCTGCCTGGCTCCGACGCGAGGGGAAAGCGTGTCAGACTCTCATCTTTACGAACACCACTCGACATCACACCATCACCCCCGGACAAAAGCGCTGCCCGGCTGGGACTCGTACTACAGACAGCCTCCATTGCCGCCGTCCAGGTACGAGCCGTCGGCCTATCAGAGCCTGCCGGACACCCGCCAATCATCCTGGCACGCCCGTCCCTGGGCCCAGGAAGGCTACACCCAGCACCACTCCTCCCACCCAGCGCTCCACCCATCCTCCACACATTACTTGAACCACCCCCCGCCTCCAGCCCACTCTCCTCACCCTCCTCATCCATCCAGCGCTCCTCTCCCACCGTACCCGCCTCACCTAACAATGCCCTCCCACGCCACTTCCTCCTACATGCCGCAGCACCCAGAATCCCCTGCACACAGCCGCTACGGGGACATGAGGGAGAAGGTGTACGTCAACCTGTGCAACATCTTCCCCTCGGAGCTGGTGAGCCGGGTGATGGCCAGGAGCCCCCACATCACAGACCCCCAGCAGCTGGCAGCCGCTATACTTGCAGAGAAAGCCCAAACTGGCTACTGAAAAACAAGGGAAAATGTGTTTTTTCTTTAACATAAAATAGCAGTTATGTGGGTGGTTTGCATCAGCAGAGCAATCTGTGGTATTTCTTTGCAACACTTGAAAGCACGTTGGGTTTGCATGGTGGAATTTGATATGTTTTTTAATTGTCTGCAAGTGGAGATTAAATCTATTAAGCTCTGATCATTTAACTCAACTTTCACAAATGTGGGGAGAATTCTATTAGTGTGTGACGTGGAGAGTTTTGTCCGACCCAGTAAGACATTTTATTTATTTACTAGCTTATCATGAGTCTTTCACATGCACAACTTATTATGCATTACATTCAACAGGCACTCTGTTAGTTGGCATCCCATACATCAAATCTGAGTAATATGAAGGATTATTTAAACATTTCCACCACCTTTACGACCAGGTTTTCTTTGAGATGGACTACACATTTTCATAATGTGCATTGTAGACCCTCAAGAGTTAAGTCACAAATAACTATTTTAATGTGATTTGTTATGTGGCAAATCCACATCTGGTACGCCACGGTCACATGAGTTTCAAACAACTACCTGACCAAGGTTTGTGTATAATATCAATATCTTTGTGTGTGTGTGTGTGTGTTGTGCGGCCACTTGAGGGGCTTTTTTCATGTTGGTAAAAATGGGTGAATGCTGGTTGTCTTATTTGAGATAACGTCAGTATTTGGTCAGAGTTGTAGCTGTAGAGATGGGTGACCCTGTCGTGTGTACCTTAGTTTTAGTAAGGGACATCTCTCTTTCTCTCTATCTGTCTCTCTGGCCCTGTCATTTGGGTCAACTCTGGTATCTGCTACAGACCGAAAACATCCGGACATCAGTAAATCCAACATGTAAATATATTTAACAGACTACCCTTGCTGTGTTTTTGGCTAAGAGCGTCTACTGTTGTCTGTAGCAGATCCCAGCTGAATCCATGCTAGACGGAGAAAACCTTGTTTGATACAAATTGTATCATTACCTAAGTCGCTGATATATACAGTACATGGAATTGTTGATCTGTATCTATCAAACACTCTTGATGTATTGCTATATTATAAAATGCATTGACAACAGTTCCAATCGAGATCCAACTTATAATCTTGTGGAAATTGCCTTGAGACAATTATTTCAATTATGTTTTGAAACAAAAGGGGTTGTCTGCCTACTATGTTTAGGTTTCACAACTTCTTCTTCATCCGAGTTTTTGGGTTTGAAGCTGGCTTATTTTCTACAGGAGCTCCAATGAAATCACATGTGAGAATTATGCTTTGGTTAACTGGCCCAATAAAAAAAAAACAAGTCAACTAGTCACAGTGAGGTTGGGGTCAGTTCATTTTAAGCTTTTTTTTTTGCCTCTTAATTAAGCCAGGACGTGGATATCCTTTTAAATAACTGTAAAATGGTATGCTTGAAATAATGGAGAACATTGATGTTTTATCAGTAACTTATCTATTAAATCAAACATTAAGTGGACAGACCCCAACCGTGTTTAATTAGTAACGTTTTTTATATTGTAGTCAGTCCCAGATCCCATGGCGGCCATTCTGAAAGTCTGTAACACTCTGCTTCTACTTTGAGTATTTGCACATTTATAAAGCCAATTTTACTTTGACAAAAAGGACGAGGTCTTCCTTAAAAAAAAAGTCAGTAAAGAAATATTGACAGTATGGCAGTATTAAAAAAAAAAAAATGCTAAAACTTCTCCACACACAGGAGGTTACCTGAGCACTAAACTGATGCTAACATGTACTTAATACACACCTGACTTGAAAGGTCCTAAAAGGCACATTTGGATGTACGTTGGTTGCACTCCTGCTAGTCGGCCGTTATATTCTGAATGAAGCATAAGCCTATCAAGTTTAGTTGTACTTGACGCAAGTTCATAATGGCCGCCAAGGTATTGAAGTCTACCGAGTGAGCTCCTCATACAGTTCACCAAAAGCCAGCTACATGAAGCCCACTGGTTTCTTTCCTGTCTTACGTGTCAGATTGTGCAAATGATGAATAATTGTACAACGACATGTGCTGTTGAGAGAACTTTTGTGTGTATTGAAGAAGCGCCTTCTCTCTGGCCTCCTGGCACTGTGTGTCAGTGTGGCCCCTGAGAGTGGGCCCAAAGTAATGCCTCTTCGTGGCATTGTGCTAATGACACATCCAATTCTCTGAACTATGTTCAGCTAACTGTTATGCATGGTTTCTTTTTTTCTGCATGTTTTCTTGTGTTTTTAATTTGTGTATATACATAGTCGTGTTTCTGTCCCGGAAGCTTTGTCTTGCCGTTATTGTGACGTGATTGTAGCTGTTGAGATGAACTTATACTCAAAATCTGGCTTGTTTTTTCTGCTTTTTAAATGTTTTATCTCATATATTAGTTAGTATTCAGAACAACAACCCCTTTGACATATAGTATAAATAAAAAATAGTAAATAATAATTTAAATATTATTGGTTATAAGGCTTGACATTACTCCAAAGAATTAGGAAGCATGTTTTAAATACATCCGACTTTTCCCCAACATCATTTTCTCTGGAGGTGCACACTGTAATAGATAGTGATCATTGGAAACATTGTGATGAGTGTTGCAAATATTACAATACAGGCCCCAATAATATAACCCAACAATACAAATACAATGTCTCTTTTCTCATTTATATTTGCATTTTGCTAGTAGTAAGTGTAACTGATTGATTATTGTAACATTCTCAACTGTAACTGTGGTTGTATAATAAACGGAATACTGCTATAAAACATTTGATAACCACTGGTTTTGTTATAGTTAAGAAAAGCTTGTTTGAAATAAATTAAAACTACGCCAAGACTCGAGTACACAACCTCTATTTAAAAAATGTATAGCATTTTGAAAAAGTTGACTTGTTAGATATGTCCTGAACAAATGTCTTTACATAAGGGTCCCCCCTTTATATGAAAAGAGGATTTTACTACTTAGCACTATGAAAAACCTTTCCATACACCGTCAGGTCAGATGGCTCAGAGAGATGAGACACAGGTCTGAAGACTTCAGGTTGTGAGTTTAAGTCTTCTGAGGAGCAGTGACTTTTAAAGTCCAACAACCTAAAGGGTTCGTTCCTCGGCACTCAGGCGCCCGTGTTGGGGTTCGATTCCCACTGCCAAGCACTTGTACAGTGTGTGTGCAAAATAGGAAAATAAAATAGGTCAAAATAGAGTTACAAAATAGAGAAATGAAATAAGTGCATATGCATGTAATTATTACAAAACTGGAACTGTAAGCTTAGTTATAGCCAGGGGAGGATAGTTTAAACATATATCTTTTTGGATAAGGATCCTCCCCCTCATATAAAAATGAGTTTTTTTAGAAAGAAAAGATTTTACATGAAGGTGTTCGTGGCGCAATTGTAGGACATACTCTGAGCTATTGTTGGTGTTTGCTAGATTTTGTCACAAAAAGAAAATGTGAAAAAAAAAAGCGATAGTGCAAACAGTCAGAGTGATGGTCATTAGGGGCAGGTGGGGCACAGCCCCACCTAGTGTCAGCAGAAAGTATTACAAATAATGATTACAAAAAATGCAACAAGAAAAATAAAAAAATATATAAAATATATTTTAAGATCATGTTTAATCATCTGATTCGTCTGTACATTGCTGTTTTAGTCTGTGTTCTTCTAATTCGTGTGTCTACAGTCACAGTGTGTGCCTATTGAGCTGTTTAGAGCCATGTGGGACAAAACCTGATCATGCCCCTTCCTCTCGCTGTGAAGTGAACGGTGACTGTAAAAACTACACTGCGCATGCTCAGAGTATTTTCCTATTTAATGTGTGTGGCAAAAAAATAATGACCAGAGGGGCACGGAGCTGCCATCCCCACCATACGTCATCTCACATCATTCAGAGCTGATTGGCTGTAAGTACGTGTGCCGCGAAAAGTGTGGTGCTTGAAGAGGAGACGAGAGAGCTGCAGTGACGCGTCCTAAAACCAGGAAGTAAGCACAAAAAAGCAATGAGATTTCTCCAGAGGATTTTAGAAAATAGCTCGAAATAAGATCTGTGGGAAACGTACCTGTTAGATAAATGCACGTTTTGTTCAGCCGGATAACATCCACATGTCTACCCTACTTTTATAATTTTTTTATCATAAATCTATCGATTAGATTTATGATAGACTTTTTAAACTACAAGAAGATAAAGAGGACTTTTACAAAAAAGTAATAGAAATGTTTGTCCAGAAGGATAGGCAAATGGACTTCATCTTCAAGTCAAGGTAAGACCGCAATTTTATTGAAAATGGGATCTTACTAAGAGAGAACAATTCAATATTTAAATGATAAAATTACATTTTTTGGGTATCCTTTTGTTGAACTGTCTGTTTAAAATTAATCGAAGCATCAGACAAAAAAAGCTTTTGAAAATAATATTATATTTTGGTTTAGGTCAAAATATAATATTTGTAAACCTGAAGAGTCAGTGCCAGTGCCTCACCAGCCATGAACCTCACTGCACGTCACTGCAGAAGCTTATATATAGACATCTAAGTTTTTTGTGCCCCACCACTTTTGTACATATAAAAACGCCACTGGACACAACACTGCTCAGGTAAGCTGAAGTCTTGGGTTCGATCCTCATGAGGCGCAGGAGTTTTCAAAATCTCCAACCCAAAGTTGAGAATGAGTTTACCAAATGAAAGGTTTACCTGTCAGGTCAGATGGCTCAGAGGGATATGTGACGGGTCAGAAGACCTGAGGTTGTGTGTTCGAATCCTCGTGATGCTCAGTGATTTTTAAAGAGCTTTACTCAAAGTGAAGAGGATAAATGCGCCCAGAGAACAGGTCTTCATGTACATGAGTTGGTGGCTATTTGGGTTTGTTCGCGGCACTTAGGTGACTTAGTGCGCAATGAGGCGCCGAAGTGCTGGGAACAGATCCGCTGCAGCATGTGCGGGGTTCGAGTCTACTAGAGGCAAGGTAGCTAATAAAATAGGTCCAAAATAGAGAAATAAAATAGGCCAACAAATTAGGTCAAAAGTAGAATAAATAGAGATCCAAGATAGGATAGGTGACCAACTAGAAAAGCATAGAGAAATATGGGTAATGTAAACATTGAGCTCAATTAGGGGATAAAATAAATTAGTCTTTTCTTTTCTAGATACTTAACTCTGACCGTTTGCACTATGACTATGTAATGAGTTTACCAAATGAAAGGTTTACCTCTCAGGTCAGATGGCTCAGAGGGATAGAAGACTGACCGTGAGACTGCAGGTTGTGGGTGCAGTTGTCTTGGATGAGACTACAACTCATGATATCTGCCCATTATTTGTATCTGTCTACGAAAATACTCGCATCTCATACTTAAGTAAAAGTAATAATACAGCAGCGTATGGAAATAAGTCAGTTTAGTAAGGCACAAAATGTTTATTTAAAAAAGTCACACTTAACTATGTAATTATTAAAAAGTAATTAAATAGTAGTCACACATTTTTTTTAAAGTTACAGTTGAAAAAAGTCAGTATAGTTTGTCTTGAAAATAAGTAAAGTATATAAAACACATTTCATAAAGAAGTACGTCAGATCAAATGTAATAAAGGTCGTATGTCATCTTTTTGAAATGTTATACTATGACTTTTTTATATTGCTCTACATGCTGTACTATGACTATTTACATCATATTTTAAACAAACTATACTACAGCTTTATTTCTAACAACTATACCATTACTTTTTATTACAGAAATTCCATACTATGACTTTTACATTTTTTCACAACATATTAGATAGTGTTTATTTATAATTGAATAATAAATAAACACAGGAATAAATAATGATATATATATATATAATAATAATAAATGTAATAATTATAATAAAATGTATTTAATATATTTATTACAGTGTTTATTTATTATTTGTATGTATTCCTGCATTTATTTATTCCTATATTATTTTGTTCCTGTATTATTTTGTTAATTTATTCCTGCATCTATTTGATCATGCCTATGTGAGATTTGAACCCTATTTTGTTTGTTTAGTGGACCTACAGTCCTTGACTCTAACCTCTAAGCTATTTTGTCTCACAAACTTTCTCGGTGAATCCCAGACTGAAGTATGTATCATTCACTAGAAAGTGCTAGGGCTGTGTGTTTTGAGGCTCAAACATGAGATGGAGATGTCAAATATGCAAAGGAACATCCAACTCTCTCAGGTCAAATGGCTCAGGGTGATAAGAATGACGGTTGGTAGACCAGAGGTTGTTGGTTCCAGTCTTGTGCCTTCCAGATAGATTTTAAGGTGTCTTCACCTTAAGGAAGAAGTCAAATACAAGTAAAAGCCGGAACTTCTCATCTGCTCCAATGGCTCACAGAGATAGAACAATGGTTGGTAGACCAGAGGTTGTTCGTTCCAGATAGATTTTAAGGTGTCTTCACCTTAACGAAGAAGTCAAATACAAGTAAAAGCCGGGACTTCTCATCTGCTCCAATGGCTCACAGAGATAGAACAATGGTTGGTAGACCAGAGGTTGTTGGTTCCAGTCTTGTGCGTACCAATAGGATACTAACTGTTGGATAGGATACCAATAGGAAACTTCCATAATTTCCAGATAGATTTTGTGCGTGTGCGTGTTTAAGACAATTAGTATCCTATTCACTCCCCCCCTTCGGGGGGGAGTGAATAGGATACCAATTGAGAAAGTTAATTCTTAATTAGTTACTGTTCTTAATTAATTGGTATCTTATTCACTCCCCCCCTTCGGGGGGGAGTGAATAAGATACCAATTAAGAAAGTTGGATACAAATAGGATACTAACTATTGGACAGTATCAGTATCAGTATCAGTTGGTATCCTATTCTAGTTAGTATCCTATTCACTCCCCCCCTTCGGGGGGGAGTGAATAGGATACTAACTAGAATAGAATAGAATAGAATAGAATAGAATAGGATAGGATAGGATAGGATAGGATACCAACTTTCTTAAACCAAGTTTCCTATTGGATACTGTCCAATAGTTAGTATCCTATTGGTATCAACTGTCTTAAACACGCACACGCACAAAATCTATCTGGAAATTAAGGAAGTTTCCTATTGGTATCCTATTGGTATCCTATTGGATACTGTCCAATAGTTAGTATCCTATTGGTACGCAGAAGACTGGAACCAACAACCTCTGGTCTACCAACCATTGTTCTATCTCTATGAGCCATTGGAGCAGATGAGAAGTCCAGGCTTTTACTTGTATTTGACTTCTTCCTTAAGGTGAAGACACCTTAAAATCGATCTGGAACGCACAAGACTGGAACCAACAACCTCTGGTCTACCAACCGTCATTCTTATCACCCTGAGCCATTTGACCTGAGAGAGTTGGATGTTCCTTTGCATATTTGACATCTCCATCTCATGTTTGAGCCTCAAAACACACAGCCCTAGCACTTTCTAGTGAATGATACATACTTCAGTCTGGGATTCACCGAGAAAGTTTGTGAGACAAAATAGCTTAGAGGTTAGAGTCAAGGACTGTAGGTCCACTAAACAAACAAAATAGGGTTCAAATCTCACACAGGCATGATCAAATAGATGCAGGAATAAATTAACAAAATAATATAGGAATAAATTAACAAAATAATACAGGAATAAATTAACAAAATAATATAGGAATAAATTAACAAAATAATACAGGAATAAAATAATATAGGAATAAATTGACAAAATAATATAGGAATAAATAAATGCAGGAATACATACAAATAATAAATAAACACTGTAATAAACATATTAAATACATACAATTACAATACAATTATTACATTTATTATATATCATTATTTATTCCTGTGTTTATTTATTATTAAATAATACATAAACACTATCTAATATGTTGTGAAAAACTTTTAAAAGTCATAGTATGGAATTTCTGGAATAAAAAGTAATGGTATAGTTGTTAGAAATAAAGCTGTAGTATAGTTTGTTTAAAATATGATGTAAATAGTCATAGTACAGCATGTAGAGCAATATAAAAAAGTCATAGTATAACATTTCAAAAAGATGACATACGACCTTTATTACATTTGATCTGACGTACTTCTTTATGAAATGTATTTTATATACTTTACTTATTTTCAAGACAAACTATACTGACTTTTTTCAACTGTAACTTTAAAAAAACGTGTGACTATTTAATTACTTTTTAATAATTACATAGTTAAGTGTGACTTTTTTAAATAAACATTTTGTGCCTTACTAAACTGACTTATTTCCATACGCTGCTGTATTATTACTTTTACTTAAGTATGAGATGCGAGTATTTTCGTAGACAGATACAAATAATGGGCAGATATCATGAGTTGTAGTCTCATCCAAGACAACTGCACCCACAACCTGCAGTCTCACGGTCAGTCTTCTATCCCTCTGAGCCATCTGACCTGAGAGGTAAACCTTTCATTTGGTAAATTCATTACATAGTCATAGTGCAAACGGTCAGAGTTAAGTATCTAGAAAAGAAAAGACTAATTTATTTTATCCCCTAATTGAGCTCAATGTTTACATTACCCATATTCCTCTATGCTTTTCTAGTTGGTCACCTATCCTATCTTGGAACTCTATTTATTCTACTTTTCACCTATTTTGTTGGCCTATTTTATTTCTCTATTTTGGACCTATTTTATTAGCTACCTTGCCTCTAGTAGACTCGAACCCCGCACATGCTGCAGCGGATCTGTTCCCAGCACTTAGGCGCCTCATTGCGCACTAAGTCACCTAAGTGCCGAGAACAAACCCAAATAGCCACCAACTCATGTACATGAAGACCTGTTCTCTGGGCGCATTTATCCTCTTCATTTTGAGTAAAGCTCTTTAAAAATCACTGAGCATCACGAGGATTCGAACACACAACCTCAGGTCTTCTGACCCGTCACATATCCCTCTGCGCCATCTGTCCTGAGTCATCATTGTTTCGTAGAGCTTATGACCTGCTCATTTGGCTTTTTTGGACCTTAAAGATGACTGCACCTGAAAAGCCTTCAACCCACAACCTGCAGTCTCACAGTCAGTCTTCTATCCCTCTGAGCCATCTGACCTGAGAGGTAAACCTTTCATTTGGTAAACTCATTCTCAACTTTGGGTTGGAGATTTTGAAAACTCCTGCGCCTCATGAGGATCGAACCCAAGACTTCAGCTTACCTGAGCAGTGTCGTATCACTCTGACTGTTTGCTAGATTTTGTCACAAAAAGAAAATGTGAAAAAAACAAGTGATAGTGCAAACACCAACAATAGCTCAGAGTATGTCCTACAATTGCGCCACGAACACCTTCATGTAAAATATTTTCTTTCTAAAGAAACTCATTTTTATATGAGGGGGAGGACCCTTATCCAAAAAGATATATGTTTAAACTATCATCCCCTGGCTATAACTAAGCTTACAGTTCCAGTTTTGTAATAATTACATGCATATGCACTTATTTCATTTCTCTATTTTGGACCTATTTTGTAACTCTATTTTATTTTCCTATTTTGCACACACACACTGTACAAGTGCTTGGCAGTGGGAATCGAACCCCGACACGGGCGCCTGAGTGCCGAGGAACGAACCCTTGCGCCAACCACACAAGTACAAGAGGAGCTGTGAACTTGGTGTATTTGTCTTCTTCATTTTAGGTTGTTGGACTTTAAAAGTCACTGCTCCTCAGAAGACTTGAACTCACAACCTGAAGTCTTCAGACCTGTGTCTCATCTCTCTGAGCCATCTGACCTGACGGGGTATGGAAAGGTTTTTCATAGTGCTAAGTAGTAAAATCCTCTTTTCATATAAAGGGGGTACCCTTATGTAAAGACATTTGTTCAGGACAGATCTAACTTTTTCAAAAATATAAATGAGAAAAGAGACATTCTATTTGTATTGTTTTATATTATAACACTGAGCAGTGTTGTATCTCTCTGAGCTATTGTGTTAATATAACCATTATCTTTAAAAAAAAAACTATTTTTATATAATAGTATGTCAAAAACATTATTTTTCCTTTCTATATTTCAAATATATTGATGAAATTAATAACATTGTATGACCAAAAAACTAATATAGTAATGTTGAAATATTAGTATGTGGAAAAATGTCAGGGAAAAAAACGTGTCAAAAAAGCAATTCTTTACCCAATGCTCAAACTATTACAAACCTCTGCTGGCACCCCCAGGACTGTTTGGGAATAGCAGGCAAATCTCAGTCAAGAACAAATGAACAGCCTTTCCCTTAAATGGCTGATAAAACTCCACCCACTCTGACATATTCAAAGATCAGATGTATAAATAAAAAATGAAAGTAAACCCACATGCATTCTTTAAGGCTTAACTACTTACCAAACAGCAAAGGAGATCTTTGCTTGATATAAAGTGTGGCGTTCCCGTGAAATCTATACATATATCTTAAGACATTTAGGCTGTGATATTATCCTCTGGGGAAGGATCACATTGTTTTGAGATACAATGTCAAATACTTATAGTTAAATGCCAATACATTTTTATCTTTTATATAATTTCTGGATTTTCATTTTGATATTCTTACTCACTGTTAAAATAAACCATACAAATGATAAGACTGTTAATTTCTTTGTAAGTGGGTGAACTTACAGAATCGGCGAGGGATCAGATGTATGAATACATTAATGGTGACACACTCAGAGGAGCTGGATGTTATATTCAGTGTATAAAACTAAAAATGATGATCCATACAAACAAGTCGACAGACATTAACATTTAAAACTTTTTATTCGCAAACCAATGAAGTGGACTGCAATCCATCATTGCCTTCGATCTTAGAGAATACTAACATGAACATAGAGAAAAACAAACGGCAGAACATGACAGCTGGTGCCAGAGCAGGCATTATCACAGACACTGGCTTCATTGGAGTTAATACACTTTGCTGTGAAGACAATGTAGACCTGTCAACAAGAGATGTTCCATCCAATGAAGCCGTCTGTAATAGTGACGCTGCTGGTTTAGGGTCTTTGAACACAATACAAAAATATGAGTTGGAAGCACAGGATCATTTGTGTTCACCTGCTATGGCAAAGGACACTGTGATGGGAACACAAGAGGCAGGCTTCAGTGTCTAAGTGCTTTAACTTAAAAACTCGGACAATACAACAAAAAAAAGAACAACCTAAACCAGCTGTCAAGTATAGCGTAACAAATTAAACATTTTTTTCGTTAATAAAATAAAAATCATTTCAAAAACGCTCCCTGGAGAATATTTCCCACCCCACAAAAGATGGAGTCAGTTTGTTGTCCGAGCACAAATAATGTCAGGATGAGAATCGACTATGCAAGGGGAATATATTAGCCTACTCTCCATTTGACTTTGCAGAGATTTGTCCCATCACATTAAGAACTAATAATAACCAATTCATTCCGATAAATCCATTGGTCTGCAAACTGCTTTCTTAAAGTAATATACTATAAACTATTATACAGGAGAACCACCACCAACAATAGGAACCAAATGCTTCACAGGAAAAAGACCTTCTGTTCAGTACATCTCAAGTCTGATCTCTAACTCATTTCCTCATTGTTTGGGATTTTCATTCCAGACCAAGTGAACCACTAGATTATGAAACTTCCTAGCTGAGTTCTAGGTCAGAAAGTGTTTTTTCTTAGACGCGTTACATCCTTTCCCCAATGCACAGCCACAAAGCAAGCCTTCACAGGAGCACCACTCAGCAACCAAGTGAAATCATGACTATACTTTTAGTTTTAGTTAAGGCATTGAGTGTTTGACTGTCAGTCCCCCACTGCTCTCTGAGGTAGAGATGTGTCCTGGGTGAAGAACAGATGTTTTCATAAGCTCTCCAGTCAGAAATGAGCCAGGTCTCAGCTTGTGAACACATTGACAAACAGATACTCAAAGAGTCAGACGGACGGACAAACAGCATCCTCCGTCTGTCCGTCTAACACCCTGGGTTTCTTTGTGAGCTGGTGGGCCGAGAAAACCATCTATGGTGACTGGGAATAAAACACTCAGACGCAACTGGAAGTTTTGTACAACCATTAGCCATTATCATACTTTTAAAGCTTGAAGGCGAAACAGGCTCATTACATGTTATCCTATCACCTCTGCGTGTGAAAAACACTTTCCCTTTGTTACCTTTGCTACATTTCTTCACCGAAACCCGTCTCCTTTTCTCCACGAGGGTCAATAACTTACTGCTCTATTGCCGGAAAAAAAAACAACGATTAAAATACTGCGGTGTGATTTTTCGTATCAACATATAAATGTAACATTGAGTTTGATTCAAACGACCTTAGCTCAGCTCTCTAACGACTCACAGGTGCTAAGAGAATTAGCACGGCTAGCTGTACCCACTGATGACATCATAGTGAATGAGTGTGTATGTACTGATATGTTAAGTGAGTGTATGTGTGTGTTTGTACAGATATATGGAATGTGTGTTCGTACAGATGTATGAAGTGTGTGTGTGTGTGTGTGCTCAGACGCTGGCCTACCCGGTGGGTCAGAAGGGGAAGCCCCTCCCCTTCCTGCGTAACCCGGACATCCTGGTGGGGGAGAACGACCTGACGGTGCTGAGCTACCTTCATGAACCTGCAGTGCTGCACAACCTGAGGGTCCGCTTCCTAGAGCCCAACCACATCTACACACATGTACATGTTATAATAATGAATCATAGGTTATATATGAATGTATATCCCTGTGTGTCTGCAGGCATAGTGCTGGTGGCCATCAACCCGTATGACCAGCTCCATATCTACGGAGAGGAAGTGATCCGGGCCTACAGTGGCCAGAACATGGGGGACATGGACCCCCACATCTTCGCTGTGGCTGAGGAGGCCTACAAGCAGATGGGCAGGTAACTCTATAATACGGTGATAACATGTCTCTATCATAACATGTTATACACAGTAATATGTTTTCAAAATGATGTAACATAAGTGCTTTGGACGCTGAATGAAAATATTGACCTAGTTTTTTATCTTATTCAAAGCTTGTAGCTGAAGGCAACTAAAAAAAGGAGGGCATCATCAATAAAACGAGTCCAACTAAAGCAGAGGAAAACAACTTAAAAACAAGAGGAATATTAAACTGAAGACATGAAATCATACGAAACCTTTGCATAAGAGTCAAAACAAAAACAACAACAAAAGCAGCTTTCTATGGCCATGTTTGCTCAAAATAAAATCCAATTGCTTCCATTTTGGTTTTACAGTTTCTCTTTTCTCCTGTGTTTAAGGACTACAGATATCTGCAGTCAGCTCCGTACAAGAGGGAGATCCGGAACATTCAGAGAGGAGGTGTGCGGCAGGACTTTGGCAAAGTTTGACAAGATGATTTCTCAAGATTGCCAGGGGTGTTGAGGTGGACTTGGTGGGACGGCAGCATCTGTTGTCCATGAAAACTGGGTAGCTGCTAAGGGGAAAGTTCGGGAGCATGAACCCTTTAGGGGACAAGAGGTGCGGTGCTCACATGGACTCAAACTCATCGATGCGCTGCTTCGTGTTGCCCGACCGGATCTGCCGGAGCGTTTTGTATTTGTCTCGGCCTGCTTTCACGTTCTCGGCGTGAAGCACGTCGTTCGGCGTCTTCTTGGTTTCATCTCTGGCATCGGCCAGCTCTGTGCTTAATGTCTGGAAGTAGAAGAGGGGGGAGGATGACAGCGCAATGAGGATGAGGAAACAAAAGAATAGAAAAACCAAAAGAGGGCAAGGTAGAGACATGGAGGTTGCAGAAGAGAAAAGCGAAGAAACGGGTGCAGAAGAGCAAAATACGTCTAAATTATTAAAAAGTAAAAAAACATCTGATTGACGCAAAGCCACTTATATACAGCCTCTGGTTGTGTGGCAAAACGGGTTTAACAAGAATAAATAAATCCTTCGAATGAGGTGCAGCAGTTATTTGAACATATTTTAAACCCTGAAGAAGAGGTCGTTTTAAGACAAATAGGTCAAATGTTGTAGTTTGAATTCTTCTTGCCATAGCTTCAGTACAAGTCCTGGGTTATGCTGTAGCCTAGCTCAGATCTACAGGGACTGTTACTTCAAGTTCAGAAAGGTTTGAGAACATGTTGATCTCAGTCAGTAGATCTTCTTTAAAGCCAGGCTACAGTGTAAGCCAGCACGTTGACTCCTGTTAAAGCAGGAGTTTAAAAGGATGGACAGAGAAGGATGCCTCGTCTTACCCTGATCTGCCATCGCTTGGCTGGTGTCTCTTCCTTGCAACAAAACTGCTGTTAGAAAATAATATCATCTGGTTGTTATGTGTGTCGCAGATGTCATAAACCGGATGAATTTCATTTGAGTTTGTTTGAAGTTATACATAGTTTAATTAAATGTTGCTCACTACACGGGGATGACATTTCCTAGATTGTATTAGTGATTTTTACGGATTTAATTTTGAGAGTGAAAGTTAATCTTTGGAACAGTAGCATCTAGAATCTTATATTTTTGAAGGGATTTTGCAATATGACAAAAGTGTGCAGCCTTTGAAAAGCAATGATTGAGCCCCCACAGGATGCCCCTAAAGGATTTACACCCCCTTCTCACCTGCAGCTGTTTCTTGACCCTCTCGTTCTTCTGGGCTTCGGTGACGCGAGCCTCTTCACTGCGGAGGTCGAGCTGGCTGACGCCCTCAGTGAATAAGTCGGCGCTGGCTTCCTCGTTGATCTCATCGTGCTCGTCCTGGTCGCTCTCGGCGTTGTTGTCCAGAGGAGCCGGCACTACAGTCATCGCTGTCTTCAGCTCCTCCTTGGTTTTGTCCAGGTCCTCCTGGGCGGACAGAGCCTGAGGGGGAAGACACAGAAACAAAAGGACATGGTTGAATGTCTGGGGACATTTAAGGAAGCTAATGTTTGTAGCATTGAGGAAGTCTTGTACCTTGTGCTGCCACTCTACGGCCTCTTCATCTTTCTTCTTCTTGGCTTCTTCCAGGAGAGCGATCTTGGCTGTGAATTCAGCCAGTTCAGCAGCCTGGGATCAATAAAAAAAGACCCTCAATGTTAAACAAACTGTACATTTAAACACTTCAACGACTTCATACGTCGTAGCTGCTACATTGTACTGCCATGTGGTAAATGCTTGATATGCTGCTCATGCTCTTTTGGCATATCATGTATTATGTATGTACGGATGGAAATTAGCTCAAAGCTGAAATCCGGCTCATTTACACTTGTAAGCATTATTTAGTTTTAAAGTGTTCATCAATGTGTACTGTCCCCATTCAAATAAACAATGAAATGAAATGAAACAGTTACATTTCTGCTTGCACAATTCTCTATGTCCACATAAGCCAGGATGTTATCGACACCCTGGGTGAATAAAACCAACACACACCAGTTGTTCCTGGGTCTTCTGCTGGTCTGCAGCCTGCTTGGCCAGCTCTGCTTTGGCCTCCTCCGCTGCATGTCTGTCTCTCTCCAGCCTCTCGGCCTCCTCCCTCGCCCTTATTCTCTCCTGTTCCAGCTCCATGGCGCGGCGAGTCTGCTCCTGGAGCTCTGTGGCGGGGCAGAAAGGGAAAAACACACGTCACATCTTTTCTAGTTAACTTTAATCTCCTACAATTCAAAATTCAAAGGTTACAGGTTGAGTCGGGTACATCAATCTGAAGTGAGGGGGCATTTACAAAAAAGGTTTGATTCTTTTTTAATTTATTTAAATGTAGCGGTGATCAAGGTTAAACAGTAAAAACAACCAGAGAAATGAAAGTGAATTCTCTTGGAGGATGGACTTGATAGGCTCTCTAATTTGGAAGACATAAGGAGGGGAAAGTAAGGTAGCAGCAAAGAGGACGTTACCTTTCTGAGCTCTCATCGTCTGCTCTTCAATCTGCCTCAGCCTGTCCATCAGTTCCTCTTTCTCATGCTCGATCCTCTCCTTCTCTTTCTCCGCGTACTCTCGCTTCTTCTTCTCATTCTCCAGCTGGGCCCTGAGAAGTTTTGAAATCACATGTTTCAGATTTGTTGAGTATATAAAAAAAAGGGAGAAAACCAATATATTTGTACTATAACATCGAATAAAATACAGAGAAACACAGCAAATCAACCGCGCTTCTCCTGCCCTGAATGAGAGCTCTTCTGGTGCAGATGATGGACGTGATGGAGGCAAGAAAGCCCAGTGCACTTATTATTTCAAACTTATTTGAGCATGCCTAAAAACAATAAACTTCAATACATAAAAAACATCTATAAAAATGTATTATGGTCTGCAAAAAACACATACTATTTTACATTTCTATCAGGGGTGTCAAACTCAAATACACAGTGGGGCCAAAATTTAAAAATGGGTGCTAGTCGAGGGCCGGACTCGTTCAATGTTTATTGCAAAACTTATTGAAATGAACTTATTGCACATATTAAACCTGGAACTAACAAAGCTTAAATGATTGCCTATAAAAACAACATAAACATTAAATAATCAGTTGCATTCATGTCTTATGGCTCGATCTGCAGCTTTTCGGAGTCATTTCTTATGATTAAATTTTTCCACAGGCCAGCTTCAAAAAAACTATTTCCCTCAAAGAAAGAAACATGCCCTGTTGTCTCAAGAAAGAAAGTACAAAAGGAAACTCAGCTTGCTGCTCTGTGATGCTAGTTCAAGCCAGATACTTGTCATCTCATCTTGGGTGCAAGTTCATCAATGTTTGGGCTCAGGCTCTGAGCTGAGGAAACCCTCAGGATTGAGTGAAGGTGCAATATACCGGCGGCCCAGATCTAATAGTAATTACAAATGATCCTGCGGGCCGAAATTAAATCCACCAAGGGCCTGATTTGGCCCCCGGGCCTTGAGTTTGACACATGTGCTCTATATGATCTTGGGAACAAATGAGTTGTATACACAGTATTCCTGAGCAGTACCTCTCCATCTGTTTGTGGTGCTTCTCCTCCCGGGCCTGAGCCTTCATCTGCTGCACCTCGATGGTGTCGGGCTTCCTCCTCCTCATGTACAGCTCGTGGTTACCCATACACAACGCCAAGATGCGCTTGTTGATGCGCAGTCGTGGGGCATAAAACACAAAGTCCTGCATGTTTTAAGAAAGAGAGCGGAGAGAAAATATATCCTTTAATGGGAGGCAGGACTTTTTTTTTTTTAAATCCCTGGAGGTCCAATTGTTACACTTTTAATGGACGACACTCACAGGAGCTTTCTTGTCAATGGGTTTGATGACAAACTTCTTGTCATTGAAAGAGATGTTTCGAATTTCACTCCAAGGGAAGCCGATCTTTGGCGTCAACCTGAAAAATAAATGTCCAAATGTACACATTAACATCTCAACTAATGATATACAGTTCAGGGTGACGGATAATAGGCTGTATTACATCCATTATAATATCCAGCCAGCAGATGGGGCCTGATATGAACAGACAGGAAATCGTTTCAAATTTCAGTTAGATGTTCTCAGTCACGTGGATAGTGACAGGAAAGAGAAGTAGGTGGATAAAAGTTATCTTTTCCTGCCAGGAATTTAAAGGACTGTGGGTCTCAAATCGAAACGAAACAAAGAAAGGAAAACAGATGCATTAAGTGATGAGGATGTTGCGGTCTAAAGAGACAGTTAGAAACTATCCTTTACTTCCTTTCTTTGTAACCTGGAGAAGACAAGAAGAAGGCAGTTGTGAGGACCTCAGATAACGAACAGGAAGGGAAAGGCAGTGAGAGGAAATGCTGCAGGAGTTGTGATCGAATCTGCCTTTTCCTCTACAAAACATTTAGAAAGGACAGGAAAGACTCTCCTACAATGGACAGAGACAGGCTTCCTCTCCTCGTTATTAACGCTAAAAATATCTCTGTTTCCTCTTGTTGGACATTATGCATCTCATGTTGACATCATGGTATTCATTGGCAATTGGGTCTTATCATGATTTAGGGCCATTGATTGTCCTGATTCTAATTGTTTCCAAAAGTTCTGCCAAACACGAAGAAGGAGTCTGCAGGAGGTGACTTTAGTTCTTAAGAAATCTATAACACTTTGTTTCACTTGCAAAAAAAGTGTGGGTGTGGGGGGGTACCGCAAAAGGTCAGGCTCAGGATAAGACTGCATTTCCCCCAGAAAGCATCATTTATTTTGTAAATAAACTAGAGAAATCTGTGTGTGTGTCCCTTACTTGTCTTCGTGTTCGTAGATATTGAGGCCAAGGGCATCTACGCCCAGCCACAGCTGTGTGCCCTTTTTGTTTTTGATCTCAAAGTAGTTGACTCCGTACATCTCCAAGTCCTGGGCGATTTTAAGATATTCCATCATAGAGTCCTCTCTAGAGAGAAAGAAATACAGGGTATGTTTTATAAGAAAACTTCCATATTAACATCAGTGAAACAATCTAATCCATAACGATTTTTGGTTAATAAAGCACCGAATTCAATACCTTGGCCTAACATGACACAACAAGCCTAAACATGTACATTCAGATAGGGAATAGTTTGCTTCCCAAACGATGAGACACACACCTGAGCATTCCTCTGTGTTCTTCATGCCAGGTCTGTATTCTGTCCTCCCACTGCTCTTTGGTAAGCTTGTGCTGCTCCAGGACTCTGAACACAAACACAAAGACTTCACCTGAGGGGATGTTGAGCAGCACACAATTGTTTCCTGCGAGGAAACCATTTCAAAATTCCAACAGGGAACGAGACAAATTCCAGGTTTCAACAAATCTGCTCCATGGAAATCTTTGGCTAAAGCGTATAAGATGTTACATATTGTGTGTGTTAGTACCTCTGAGGCAACAGTCTGTCGTGGGTTAGGTACCCAGCCTTGTGGACATCTTTGTTGTAGTCTCCATACTTGGCCTGGACAGAGTACGACGCCAGAAGCACGGCAGTCTCTGGAGGACAGTAGTTCTCATCGTTCAGAATAGCCTCCTTCACCTGGCAGAACAAGAGGAGAAGTTCAGTTAATTTACTTACTTAAAACAATCAATTTGATGGAAACCTGACTAAGGATTGGCTCAGTACCTGCAGGAAGAATAACCTCTGTGTGATCTCCTGGATTAGCTCCTCCGAGACATCCTCAGGGAAAAACTTGGCTCTGAACTTAAACTGCAGAGGGTTCTCCTTCTTCACATCCTGCTGAGTCACCTACAGGAGAAAAACAGCATCAGCGTCGTCATCAAACCACCTATTAACCACAGGAACATAAACTAGAGATGGCAAATCCGGATCCTTTTACGGACTCAGGGTCAGACTCAGTCAGTCATTGAAGAGATCCGGATCATACGAGTCATTTGAGTCATATGAGTCATATGAGTCATATGAGTCAGCATCACTAAGACCGTAGAAATCCTATCGGTGAAACCGAAAAGTTGTTGCATTTCACGAGCATATTAAACTGACGTTATATTAACCTCCGCTACACAGTGTATTTTGCTTTAATAAAAAATTGTTGATCACAAAAAAAAAAAGGGTTATTTTGCGATTTAGCGAATCTGAGTCTGCTGTTGACTCGTGCATGAGGACGAGTCTGCTGGATCTCTGGATCTGCTGCTATATGGTTACGGCTCTGAGTCCGCACGAGTCTGCTCTGTTTTGCACAGTGAGTCAGGATTTGCGAATCTGCGAGTCTGCTGTTGACTCGTGCATAATATAGCCGCGGGAGCCGGGTGCTGGAGGAGGGGCTATGCTCGTGCACATGACGAGTATGGATCTCTGGATCTGCTATGCTATTACGGTTAGGAGCCGTCGGCTCCTCTGAGTCCCGACGAGTCTGCAGGAAGTTTCACTGATCCGCGTCCCCTCCCCTGAGCCAAACGATCACTTCAGGCAGCTATCCTACTTGCTAAAGGGTAGGCAGATGGACTGGGGTACGTTGTAATGTGATTTTACATGTTATAAAGAGAGTAGCGAGTGACGCAATTTATAGTTTTAATTTGTACGTCACACCAAGTGTGGGACTCAAGGACTCGGGTTAATGGAGAGGGGAGACTCGTCACGACCAGCTCATTTCTAGGATCCGGGTTAATGATCCGGATGAATCAGGACTCGCCCATCTCTAACATAAACCCTACATCATACTTCATCTCAAATGATGCTTGTGACTTTTATTAGAGTGCAGAATTTGGTTATCTGTCACATAAAACATTGGTAACATGGGTAAAATATTGTGTTTTTTGGGGGCTGTATGTGGACAGTTTTTGCCCACACTTCTATAGAATCGTTTTCACTACATCTGTCTGTACCTGCTGCTCTCTCTCACACACATATTTTCTGTCAGGCATACCCGGAAACACACTGCAATAGCATGGGTGTTAAGGCGAGAGGTGTGTAGGGTGATGAGTGAGAGAGCCTGTTAAAAGAGCACACCTGAGGCTCCAGACCACAACAGCTTCCGGGCAAATCCCAGATAAATAACAGACAATGACTGGATGATAGACAAACAGATGACGTGAGGAAAAACATCCTGAAAAGGGAGACAGACAGATAGAGAAGACATTAAAAGAGCAAATCAAATGTAAAATGAAAACGGAGGAAGACTGACCTTCTTGTTGAGTTTGAGCCAAGTGCTGTAGCCTTTACTGTCCACATACTGCAGGCCGAAGAACCAGACCTCCCGTAGTCCCACCGTCTTCACCACCTGACAATCACACACACATTTCAATCTGAATTCTAACAGGTACTTTCATAAAAGGAAATGGTTGACAAGAGATATTACGGTGACACGGTTAACCATCAGGACAAGACGTACATAATTTAAGAATTTTGGAAAGCAGTCACCTGTGGACATTTTTCAGTCATGCTCACCTGGTCAAAGAGCTGTTTCCCTGTAGTATTTGGTTGGATGGCAAACTCCAGCTCTGCATCCATGGTGGTCACACGGACATTGATCTGGAAAACCAACAACAACTACATAGTTTACCATGTTGGTTGAGATATAGCACAGGCAATGGTTTTGAAGAGGGTGACAGCACTGCAGTCTTGGCGTTGTCATCATTAGTTTTCTTGAACGATAGTGTTTAGTTTAAAGTGGGGATGAAGAAGCTTTATAGCGTTTTGTTTAAACTAGTAAATCGAATAGCCGAATACGCCAGGGATAATCACTGCCATACTCAAATATTATAATTCCCACCTCAGCTTTGAGCTCATCACTATTAGTGCTTTTTTTCTAATCTCGACTAAGCATCCACTAATCTCCTTCATCAATCAGATGACTGGTAGTGAACAGTTTGCGTTTTGTGCTCAATATAAAGACAGACTTAGCAAAGGGACCGTCAAATTGCATCACTTTCCATCCTACACTGCCAGTGGAAGTAAGCCCCACCTTTGATGGCAGCCCACTACTCTGTTGGGGTGGAGCAGGGGATACAACTCAGTCATTGGCTGAACAGCGGAGGCAGTAGGCCAGCAGCAGCTGATGGCACAGAACAGAGCGAGGCTGATCTCCGAGGTATCTCACATCCTTCCTCCCACACGTACACTGAGCTGTGTGTTGCCTCAGCTATGGGTAACAACTCAATAGGATAGACAGAGGGAACTGCAAGTGGCAGAAATGAGAGTGCTAGAGCTTCACCTTTAGCAGAGAAAAAGCAGGCAGATTGCAACAGGAAGCAAGAGAGATGATCTAGGGTGCGCTCACTTTGAGATTGAGTTACAGTGAGGTTTCTGCAGATGAGCCAACCATACAGAAATAAGAAACTGAGGATAATAATCTTTCCTTTTTTTTTTTTTTTTTTATAAATATACACAAAACCCCAGGAAGCTTTTTATTCCCCCCCTTCTCTAAGTATTTATTTACTTTCTCTCCCGCCGTCATCCCTCTCTTTCTCTCAATATCCCTGCGATGAATAATCCATGTAACTTGTGTCTATACCGCACATAGCTGGACTCCCCCGCGCCACATGGAGCTCAGACCACAATGCATCTGCCTCTGTCTCCCCCTCATTAATTACCCATGAAAAAGTTGCAGCACTTTCTCTACACTATATACATCTCACATGAACATGAGTTTGGCCTTAAACTATTACTGTAACGTACATTTTACAACATTGTTTTAAAACTGTATCCCACACGCTCATAGGCAGCTGCCCGGGAAAAGAGATGTAACTGACTGAATCATTGTAGTCTGCCTTCAGTCGGGTTCAATTCTGTATTAATGAAGTGCTGTTATTTTAGCTTTTAAGATTCCACTTAGGAGTTTTAGCCCACATCAAGATAAATGCCAAATCTATGTGATAAAAAACAAACATGATGGCTTTTCAATGTGAAAACTTCTAAATACTGTCAAGTGTTTGATAACCTTCATAATTAAATCAAGTCTCACACTGAGATTGGAGTATAAATGTCATTTTTTTGGCGTGATTATGAGATGTTTATGAAGGAAAAGGCACTCTACACCAATGACACTGACATCCAATAACATAAGCTGCTTATTACAACACAGCCCTGTCACCATCATTTCAATGAGGTTGCTGAGGATATGGTTACATGATAGAACATGAGCTACTGCTATCAGCTCAATAGTGAGTTTCACTAAAAATCAACACAGATTGTGGATCATTATTCATTATAAACCGGTACATGTGAAGGAATATTCTACACAATTACATTTTGCAAAGTTCAATAAAGTAACAAGATCACTGCTGCCAGTTTCATACATGACCTGAACAATACTTAATACGAGTCTTTCAACCAAGAGGAATTATTACTTGGAAAAGCAGCAAGCCAGGTTAGTAAGTGTTGACACCTCCGCCCTCCTCTTTTCACACTGCGATTGCAAAAATGGGTCTTCCCTTGAGATATTGTTTACTACATGCGGGTGTATCTATGGCAGGGAGTAAACAGACTGTGTTCTCTTTAACCTCTGATGAGTCATTGATAGTTACAGCTGCTACAAGAAAATCACAGGCTTAAAGTATTGCTATGGACAAGAGTTACAGTGATCACCTCATGGAGCGATAACAGCATTTAACAACTCTTCACAGGGCTGTAATGAATGTCATTTCTCTCAGATTTGCATCCAGAAGCATTTGAGATGTGAATGGGAATTCATACATTTTTGTCTAAACTGACCTAATTTAACTTTAGGAAATTGACTCTTCAGGGGCTTTGCTCTTTAGTGTACATTTTAGGGAACACATTCCATCAAAGTACAAGAAATTAACCGAGACAAAACTGTTGTACTACATACTACTAGAGCAAAATGTAAATCCATTCTTGCAAGTTCATGGTTGACTGACTGGTGTGTAAAAACCAAGTTGCTTTCAATACTATGCGCCTCATTGACTTTCTGAGAGGAGTAGTCATAGACAATGTTGTGCAGAGCTGGCGTTTCCAAGTGACTGGCCTTGAATGTCCCTTCTCCCCTGCATGCATGAGTGTGTGTGTGTGTGTGTGTGTGTGTGTCATCAGCAATCAGCTGTGCAACCTTTGTGCTGCATGTGTGTCACTGCCAAAACACAGACAGGGAGAGGAGGAGGAATCCTGTACGGAGCAGACGGTCAGCTAATCCCGTCTCTCCTGCAGAAAGGGGGGAGGAGGAGAGGGACGACAGGCCGAGGCAGTGACACAGCTAATCACACACTGCGACAACTGAGGAGTCTCCGAGACTGTCCTTACACCACATTCTGTCTAATGGTCTCCGATTCACTTGTTAGACGCTTTTATCCAAGGCGACTTGCATACATTCAGTACTGTGGACAATCCCCACAGGAGCAATGTGGGGTGAAGTGTCTTGCCCAGGGATACAACGACATGCTGACTGCAGTGGGACTCGAACTTGCTATCCCCTGATTCGAAGTTCAGCGCACTACCCACTGAGCCACAGCCACCCTCTAACCAGCGTTTCCGTTGCCTAAGTCTTGCCGTCATTTGACCCCCTTATTCAGCTCGGAACGCCCTGACCTCGAGCAGAGTGCGTCCAAAAAAATTAATAATTCGAGAGAAGATTGAGAGTTTTTATCGCTTGAAATGACGAAAAGGAAAAAGGACAAGGACATCCCTCTGTTGGAGGGGCAACGGAGTCTGGTGGGATTCTTTTAGCCGCCAGCAAAGCGTGTTCCTGTGACGGAAAGTGTACTGCCGGCGAGCCTTGACGGGGGGTGCTAGAGGAGCACGCGCGTGAACTGCGAGCACCGGAGAATCCAAAGCCAAATGATCTGGCTCACTAAAAAGAGCCGTAATTCCCATCACTAATACGTAAAGAGATAGTATCTATAAGGGACGGCTCAATTCAAAATTCAAGTCACGTGACGTCACACCCACCCCCCCGGCTCTCTGGGTGGACGCCCTCTCAGCCCTGGTCTGGCGGAAACACTGGCTCTAACTCCTCCTTGTGCAGAATCACTAAACAGGCCTCAAGGTGTTTTGAGAAAAGTTCAAGATCACAAAGAACAAGGACTTGACAAGTATGGGACAAATAAGGCCACAAGTCTCAAACTAGTTGCTGTATAATTCACATTTGTTCCCCCCCATGTGTCTTTTAAGCATGTTCCCAAATCCCCCTCTCCATTACAACTGCCAAGACGACTTCTCACTCAGACGACCCCTTGTTAAATGTGCAGCTGTTAAGTTACTGTAAGCTGTTTAGAGGAGCTTTGCCTAAAGAGACACACACAGACTACAATCAGCGGAGTTGCTAATCTGGCCTTTGAGGCTCGGAGCAGCCGTCTGTCCGTCTGATTAACCCCCCTGCAAGGAGAGGAAGCATTTGGAAGGGAGCAGGAAAGGAAGGAGGAATCACTGCTACCTACAAACACAAACATTCATCCTGTGTCCTTTCACAAGAGGACAAAACATTTACTTCTCCTCCTCCAGTCATCTGCTGTAGAAAGAATCTGAAAAGCTTACAGGGATTTTTCTAGGAGGGTCTTCCTTACACTTCTTGACACAGACCTACGTTTGCACACACTTGTGATGTTCAAACTTCCAATAACCTTTACCATTTTTTACCTCCTAAAAATCCCTATATCTCCTGAGCACTACAACAGATTTCATGGTCAGACTGTCTGACTCGTTCGTGGCTGCACGGACAGTCCCTCAGCTGTCTGGTGATAATCCCCTCTCTTCCCATTACTCCTGTACTCCCACAGAGACAGGATGTTGACATAGGCTGGGCCCCCGATGTACACAGCGGGCCCCTTCTTCAGCAAATGGAAAAACAGCCACAAGCTAGGAAACCAGCGAGGGCCGTCTGTCTTCCTGTGGGGTGCCATCACTTCATAATGCGAGCAGAAGGGGTGTGATATGATTTCAAGAGGTATGAAAACACCCACGCAGGGGTACAAATGTGTCAACTTTACCTCCAAACTGGACAAGATAATCACTGCTAAAGACTGACATGAGCAAGCACCATATGTTTGTGTTTTTAGAGTAACCTCTACTACGTGACTCTTGATGCAAAACTGAAAAACAATTCCTGCTAGCTCAACAAACCCTTCTGTTGCTCAGCCTCACAATTGTTTGTATTCTTTGCTCACAGATGAATGCTGACACTGAGATACAAGAGGCCCTTTCTAGAAGTGTTGATGTCTGGCTGTGGCTCCAATCCCAGAGAAGGTCATGCCTGCTGGACCCTGCTCTCACTTCCTCTGTTTACTGTGTCGGTGCCTCCCTGCGACAAGCTGTGCTTTCTCTGTCAGTTTGTTATCGTCTGTGACAGAGATGTGGCTATGAACTCAGCCCCCTGAGGAGCTGTTTTGGGACGGAGCCCTGGTGACTAAGGGGACAAGAAAGGGAAGTGGAGGATGACATCAGTGCCTGGCTGGCTGTCCCTTTCTCTGTAACTTCTCAAACACACATCCACAAACAAACACCACATCAAGAGCTAGCTGGAAATGTGGCAAAGCATGAAGCCTGTTGTCCTAGGAAAGCTACTGATGTCGTTTTTAGCAACTAAAAACATTCTAAATCAAAACACGTCACGCCCTGGCTCAAGGACGGACAAAAGAAGAACACCACAAATGATTCATTTCCAATTAAAGTACATTTATTTAAAGAAACTAAGTAAATTGTGACGTCAGTTCATAATGAATGCGTGTAGTTTGTGAACATGCATCAGTATATTAAGCAAAGACAAACAAATCAAGATCCAGTAGAGCCAAGCAACCCAAGAGGAGAGAGAGGCCGTTTCTCAATGTCGAGTATACCTGCTGCAGAGCCACTATTTCAAGTATACTATCATCGAGTGGCGCCGAAGGACTGTTTAAATGCATGTTAAATGCCCAGCATAGTAGTATATATATATATATATATAGTATACTTGAAATAGTGGCTCTGCAGCAGGTATACTGGACATTGAGAAACGGCCAGAGACTGACTGCTCAGACACCCATACTTGTAGCTGAGCAGTCAACCAAAATCAGGTGTCAGCCATCTTTCCTGATTGGGGGGAGTGGCTAACCAATGTAGGTTTTGTCTTAAAATGCCTCAAGATTTTAGAAAAAAGGTCCAATACTCAGTAAGAGTTGCTCAGAAACAAAAGACCAAGACAACCTAATACTTTGAGAATCTCCTACTGTAGAGTTAGTCTACCCAGGTGTGTTTATGAGGAACAATCAGCCTGAGAACAGCGGGACAGCCGCAAAGGGACTGCATCAAATTGGTTGTGTTTTGGTGTTGATCACGTCCCGGGCATTCTCTCCACCCTTTAAGCAACAATGGCAGCAGTGTTACAGTTACGAGGCTCGTGGGCCGGGCAGTTCATTTCACACTCTGGCTGTTGTTTACTTGGAAGAGGAGTATTGGGAGTGGGAGCAGCTTTGGGAATGAAACCGCTACTTCCCAGAATGCACAAATGCAGCTTTCTGCCGCAGCGCATGCCAACTTTTATGACAACTGGAGATTTACTTCATACAAGCAGACGAGAGAGGAACCAACAAGCAACGCTCATGTTTCAGATTCATATTAAATATCCTGAGCTACTGCCTATTAAGTTCTAACATTACACAATTAAAATGTGCAGGAAGATGCCTAACTCAAGGTTATTTTTGGTTGCTTTTTCCCTTAGGGCTGCAGCTCTTATTTCTATGCCAACTCTCATGTTTTAGGATCTTACCGGTTTCGGCATCTTTGCTTCCCCTCCTTCTTACACCCGACAGCTGAAAGGACGGCAACAACTCCTTAATCACAGGACCTGAAAGCAAAACAAAAAAAGAGACATGTTTTCCTACATTGATGAAACAATATGTACAGCAATATTTCCTTGTACTACTCTTGTTCTCTCTGTACAAAAAATACAATATATTGCAGGATAAATCCTTACATTTAGCAGACATTTTACTTCAAAATGGACAGAAGCAATGCAATAGTTTTGCATTCAATCTCAACAAAATAAACTATATTTCTGACACATAATTGCTGGACATTTGCAGCAATTTGTCACCCTGCATCCCACGGTATACATGCGTAGTCTAGGTTCACTCTAGTTGAAACACAAGCCTGCAAGTTAGATAATGACCTAGGTTGAACTGCCATATGATACTGAAATGATCCAGGAAAACAAGAGGTTTTTTTTATGTGAGCTTGTCACATCATTTAAATTGGGATGCTCTAGTTTATGTTCTAAAAGGTATTGTGCTGAGTCACAGATAACATCACAATCTCAAAGCTTACAAAGTGTTGTACAGGATACTTTTGCACATTCTTGCAAAGGGATGCTTTCAATCACTGGGACTTAAAACCAGTGTGAATGGCAGTTTCGCCCTAAGCTGTCTTTTAATGCAACACAGCTGATTGATATCCTGTAATTAGGGAAAACGTTTCAATACAACACAAGGCATTCCTGAGGTATTCAAAGTTGCATGCAGCATTTGCCCTTTACCATATAAAAAGGCAGGTTGACAAATATTACCTTCACCAAACCAAATTATTAAAAAATGGATGCAAAGGTTAATAAAGAAACCAGAATAAAGCCATAAACATGACCAACTAAAGAAAGACCAATAATTACTATCACACACAGTACTAGTCAGTATAATTCCCTCAGCAAAGAATAATTAGAGGCCTTACACAACAACAGTGTGATAAAAACAATGGTTATGTTAAAAGAAATGTGTAGGGAAGCCCCCCTGAGTATTTAAGCTTTAGCTAGTGTATGTACTACACATGAAGACATGCCCACTTGTAGCTTGCGAGCAATTAGCATGCGTATTTACCCGCCGAGTTAGCTTCCGTTACACTGTAATTTGACCAAATTTACACAAATGGTGGACAACAACTGTAACTTATGTTAGATGCAAAGGCATGCCACGAAGATACAAAATAAAATGCATTAAATGAGTTATAAATAAGCCCTTTTACCGAGTTTCGCTCCGTTAGCCGACAGAAATACTCCTCATAAAGTGAAAATGTGGCCGTCATTTGGAGGCTTGATAGTGGGTGTAAGTAGATAACGGTGCACACGGTTATCCTCGCTCATACACGTGAAGTTTTTAAAGCCATACAAATGTTTGGCCATCATTAATTCACCACATTTTCCTAAGAAATTAAAAGAAACACGTGTAAAATTGTGACTACGTACAGCAAGCTACGGTGCGTTAACGGGCCGATTAAAAAGTCGTCATTTATTAATGTGTCGTTTTAAAATATGATTTGCTCGAACACGAGGATATTCGCATCAAACTTGAGGCTCATCTTTTTAGGGAGAGGCAACTCACCGGGGGGACGAAGTATATCTTTAAATGAACAGGAAAGCCTTGTATCTTCAAATGGTACAAAAATATCCACGATGATATCCCGTGTCTGGTCCGCGGTTCTTATCTACTACTGCTGCTTTGAGAAACAAATTCCTGCAGACATGGAAAAACCGTTGAAGTCTTAACAACCATAAGGCGATTTGGGGTGCTAGTGTCGAGCTAGCTGAAACAAACTAACACAACATCCGGTCTCCTCTTTCAAAATAAAAGCATCATAGAAGCAAGAGAAGAATAAATAATTTCTGAAGATGTTTATTTTGAAGTTTCAAATCAAAGTTTATTCATATTGCATTGCTGTCAATGTTAAAAGACATTACAATTCATAATTTACTAAATAAACCTTGGAGCAATAGTTTTATATTGTACATCAACCATCCAATGAAGAGCTTCAAGCTAATATGCAATAATTATTTTTCTGTACAACCGAGTTTCTCTTAACCTACACTCATGTTTTAGTTTACTTTGAAGGCAAAAACTCCATAACTTCCGGTCTTGTTTTCAGGTTCTGCGCATACTTGACGCAGCTAGTCGGGGAGATGTTCAATATGGCTGTCAGCAGCTGAGGAGTGGATGCAAGGCATGTATGCGGCATGCATCGTGCCACGAGTTGTATGGGGAGTGAATAATATCAGACTGGACCATTTTTTAAGAGACTCACTCAGGGGTAGGGCTCCTCACTCTGGAGCCCCTGGCAAAATGCATCTGTGCATTGGCTCACAGTGGAAGTAGATAAGATGCACCACTTAAAGATTGTTGCAGAAAGAAGGGACAATGTGACCCTATTATTTCAAGTCTTCACATTTAACTGTGTCAGAAGTAGAAAAGAGTGTATGACTTTGGAATAATATGTTTTATTTAATTATTTGCCATTGGCACACACTCAAGTCAAATCACTTCAACATGCGTAATTGCGCAAAGCTGGCACATCATGGGCACCTTCATTTATTATGTATGTCCACCAACATGTTGTTGGTCAATCAATACATGAACAAATCATTTTACCCCCACCTAACAAGAGCAGCGTGGCAATATGTAAGCATCTTTTAATGTAATGTTAACAGGAAATAGGCGCATTATGAATTAAAACTGCACCTGCACACAAACACCACTGCAGAAATAGTCTAACTGCTGCTACTTAGTTTGTCATGGATTAAATACCATGACAAACAAAGTTTAAGCTACAGCAAATGTATTAAGAGAATCATGTATGAGGTGTGTGTATTAGCAGAGCCTGTACACCGGAAGTGCTCGTTGATTACCTCTGAAATTATCATAAGGAAAAATATTACACAATCAGTATAAAAGTAATCGGACGCCATGGTTATTCTAATAGCAATCTCTACGTTTGAATTGGCTCACATTATTCGGGTACATTTCACCATGGGGTCGTTTGTTTATTTTAGCCGGAAGCCATCTGTTGCCTACAGGCCAGGGACACAGTGATCGTGTTTGTTTGTTTGTTTGCTTATGAGTTTGTTTGTGCTTTTTTGTTTGTTTTCCTCTGTTGTTTGTGTGGCTGTTCGGCCTCTGACTGACCGTTTAAATCACAGGAAACCCCAGTTCTTGCCATGTATTACCTCGTGTGTCCCTCTTCTGTGTTCACCTCGTCAGCTGGCGAAGTTGTTTACCTGTCGCGCATGCGTTACGGACCAGTCAGCTGACCTGATTGATAAAGCGTCTCCGGGGCCCTTTCTCATTTCTCTAATTCCCCTCCTCGACTCCCCTCCTCGACTCCTATCCTCGTGTCTTAGTCCCGCCCACAGGAGATGCGAGCGGAGGAGTCGAGGACGGGAAATTAGTGAAATGAGAAAGGGCCCGGGTCCCTTCCAACCCTGTTCCAACCTGGGGGGTCATGCCTGGGGTCCAATCATCACGTTTGATTGGTTTACAGAGGGAATCGTGCATACCATAGTTGGGCTTTTTTAAATGAACATCCAAAAATCCCTTTATAGTCATGTCAGCTGTTTTTGTACCAAAACATAGAGTTAAAATGTGGCGTGAAACCCACATTCTATTCTACTGTACATGTTTAATTGTGTTGAAGCTTTGTGAGGCTGGCTGGTGTCATCAGAGAAATAATGCTGGCTCAGATGTTCCAGGTATCCTGTGAGCAGGAGGGATTTCCTGCACAGCGCCTGCACATGGTCATGGTAAACACCTGGAGAAATGGAAAAGGATGTCAATGTCAATCACCTCTCAAAAAGCCTCATATATGATGTTCATATTGATGCGCAGTAAATAAACATCCATTTGGAAATCTTGCATTTTTGTACACAAACAGATAAACAGGGTCAGCTGAAAACTGGGCTGTATTTCTTGAAAAGTTGGAGCTTTGGAAATAGGTGCTTTCCCAGGACAAGGACAATATTTGAATTACTAATGACGGCATATTTCTGAAACCATTTTTTTAAATCACATTTTTTCACCAAGTTATTATATTGTTGTGAAGAAAAAAAAAAAAAATGCACTGCAGTGGGAAGGCACATAAATGTTGTATCAGTATAGATACATCTGTCTGTGTTTTAGACATTTAATGCCAAACTAGTGAACTTTAACCATAAACGCTGAGGATGCAGGGTAGATGTAATACCCAACGCGCCCACAAGATGGCAGCATAGTGCAACTATTCTACAGTATTCTGAAAAGATGCTCACCAGAGGCAATGATATTCTCAGCGAGTATTAAATCAGAAGTCTGTTACTGACCATATCCTATTATTTCAATAAATAAACTACTGAAATTAATATTTCAATAACCTGTCACTTAAAATGTTGTCCCAGCAGAAGCACAACTAATCGGAAAATAATGGAAGGGACTTAGTTCTTCTTTATATTTTTAGTTTGTGTTTTGCTCAGGCAGACTTATCTAAAACGTAAGCACAGCTGGCACAGCGTGCCTACCTTCAATTATAATTTTGAACATAACAATGTTCAAATCCTGCAGGCTGGGGATAATGTTATTTTGCCACAGGGGGGCACCAGTTAGACTCTGCTGTGGGCCGCTGAGGAAAACCACAGACTTTATGTTGAGGTTTGGCTCCAGTGGAGATGTTACAGGTCAAGTACCTTGCATTAAGAGTGGCAGGAGGTTGCTCTGGTATCCATGCTCCTATTCTTCATAGAACACATTTTGAATCCAGATCCTCTGCACCAATGGACGACAATGACATCATCTGGCATTAAAGTGGAGGACAATAACATTTTATCATGTTTTCAGCAGTGAACAGAAAAAAGTATGCAATCTGCACCTCACTAAAGGCCACATGTGAGCGCTTCCCGTACTGTGATGAGAGCCACTATGTGCCAGACCATGTGTGTGTGTTCACTGTGAAACCCTTGAAGCTACATGCTGTCTCCGGACTCCTGACAGACACGGCTCAGGTGTTGCTCTTCTCTTCCTGTGTAAATTATAAGGCAGGTTTTGAAAGGTGTCACACCAGACACAGGATGCTGCCCCCCCCCCCCCCCCCCCCCCCCCCCCCCCCCCCCCCCCCCCTGTCTTTCTCTCCCTTCCTCTTTTCTTTTTCATGTAAATGACAACAGCTATGTGATCTGTCAGAACTGGCTCTACGACAGCAGCTTGTAACAGCACATAAAGTATATTGTTGAGACTTGAATTGTATATGAGGAAAATATCCCCGTATTTACTTTTTTCCACTACAGGCAAAATGATGTTTCTTTTTCATATAGTGGTCAGTTTTGAGAGTTTGTGCTACTTTGCTTCTTTCAAACTAGTGGAAATAAAACATGTAAAATATATACTCATGTGTTTACTTTTCTAACTTCGTCTATTTGCATCAGTAGATGTAGATTTCTCCTAATCTCACCATAAGTTAGCATAAGATAATACATTATTTGCATATGTTACACTAACATGAAAACGTCATGTTTACCCTATTCAAATGTAGTGTCTTTCAAAATGTAAAGAGTTTTGCTAAACATATTTTGAGAAAACATTCTTTAAAGACACGTTTTTCATACTACCCAAAAGATAAACCTTGTTTTATGTCAAACAAAAAAACCGTATTGAAATGAATTGAATTAATTAAACTTGCTATAACGTTTTCAACAGGAAACGTTTCATGGTGATATCTAGCAGTTAAAACTGTTACTCTGTTCATCTGTAGTGTCTCTCCTACATAAATGTCTGCTGTGTAGGTTTTCTGAATTGACCGTGAAGTCCTGCTGTGTTGATGTATCCGAAAACCATAGTAACCCAGGAGCACACTGAATAACAATCAGTGTCTGACGGGGGAAGGATGAGTGAAGTAAAAGCCTCATTGTCGGGGAAATACTGTAATGACTGCCTTAAGATATTCTGGGTGTGTACTCCTTTTGCTGATATTAGCCTTTAAGTAAATATTGTAAAACTATAAAAAAGAAAGAGAAGCTTACGTTGAACAGAGAAGCCTATTCACATAATGGGTTTATGTTCCCTACTTGCCTACCCGCCTGCCCCTGGCCCCAATCTGGCCTCCTCTCTTTTAGAAGGCCTTAATGACTGACCCATTTACATAACTCCCTTCCGGTTTGCAAATGTTTCCCTTTATGAGGCCCTCCTCTGTCTCCGAACTCATTCTCCTCATCCTTTCTCGCTCTCCCTCTCTCTATCTGAAAGTCTCTCGCCCACGTTCTGACCAGGTGGAGCCCAAAGTAAACTATGTCACATGCAGAGAGAGAAAGGCAGCCGGGGAACGGTGCTGATAATCTCTGTCAACAGCATATCTGAGGGCCTCGGCTGCCTGGCTACTGCCCACTGTGTGTGTGTGAGGGTGTGTGTGCTCAAAGCCAACTGGTCAAGTGTGTGTCTACCTCACCGTGCTCACCCAACAACTTATCCGGTGTGTGGGTGTTTCTATTGATTGCCAACAAATTACCTAGGCCAAAAAAGCATGTGTGCTACATTTGAAAGTGTATGAACAAAATACGCAGTGATCGTTTCCAAAAGTGAATTGTGTCAAACCATACAAGGCAATGCTATGCTAACACTATCTTTTTCTAATTTCCATCTGTGGTCCTCAGGCAGGTTCATAACAATCAATAAACAAATAATAACATTGCATGATCTCTATCAGTCAAACAATTTTAAAACCTGATTTAAGTACAGCTCAATACATTAATACATAGTACACTTGAAATACACTTACATGATCTCGGTCACTCAA